CCCAAAAAGAATTACCCAAGTAAAGATACTCAAAAAAAAGTACTCAAGTAAATGTACTTTGTTACTTTCCATTACTGTGTCATGGTTCATAATAAAGGACCCAGTAATCAAGGTAGACAGACAAATTTCTCAAAAGGCATTTATTAAAATACAGTGGACCTGCAGTGAGGAGCTAGGGTATCTAAGGCAGGAACCTCTGCAGGTGGAAAACTTAGGTTAGTGACCAGGTAAATCTGACGGAGATTGATTACCAAGGTATTAGTCACTAACCTGGTCTTAGAGTTCAGTCCTTGCCCAGAGGAAGGAGTGGATTTTAGCCAAATGGCTGCCGACATGACACGGCAAACGCTTCCCAGAGAGTCCCAGATGATGAAGCATTGAAGACTGCAGAACTGGCAGGAGATCAGATCCAAGCAGAAGAAGGAAGGCAGGAGTTTCCAGAAGGCGAAGCCCAAGCTGGTGTCGAAGATTTTAAAAGGAGTCAAAAGATCAGAGATCCAAAGACTTACCAAAATAAAATCCAGGTTGCTGTCAGGAAGCAGATCCAGTTTTGGTCAACAGGCAGAATCCAGCAGGAGTCTATAGACAGGTCAGGCAAACAGATCAGAATAGGAACAGACAGGTCCGAAGGCAGAATGGGTCAGGATCAGGCAATGAGAACACAATCAGGTATGCTAGAGAACTCTCACCAAGGGCTCGAATAATCTGGCACTGATGACTGGAAGGAGGCAGATTAAATAGAGACTGGAGCATATGACACAGATGAGCGGTGATAAGAAAATGGGCGGAGCTAGACAGGGGAATGGAATGAAAATTCAAGCCAGTCATCTGCGACAATATCCTGAAAGAGTCTGGTTTTATTATTGGAGAAAGTATTGTATACACCAATGTATGTATAACATATTTTATTGATATAGTACAAAAGAACACAAAAGCATTATTTGTTCAACAAAACATATTCGAATTGTAGTATTTGTTTCCATATAACAGGGAGTTTGTTTTTGAAAATAAAATCTGCAGCATATTATGCGTTATACGTGTCCTTCGGTCTCAAAGAGGAACTTCACCCGCCATGATGGCTTTATAGAGTTCATGAGTAACAAGCTCGTAACTTCCAGCACGGCTGTTCAGGAAATAGATCTCCTCCCTTCTGTCTTGTGGTTTGAAGCCTTCCTTATGCAGACGTGTCTTTTTTATTTTAAATGTATCTGGGAGAGAAAATGGGGAAAAAAATGAAACTGTTTGTTTTCTTTTTGTTTTTTTTTTGTTTTATTCAGTCTCTGAATTTCAGCCTAACCTGTGGTGTCCACAGACGGCATGATTCGCAGGAAGAGGGGCCGCGCGTAGGAGGGAAGTGCTTTCTGTACAGCACTCAAAAACTCATTTAGGTCCAAACTTCCTCCTGTGTGAGCGATGGCGGCCATGCCTGCTCTGCCCTCCACGCCTGCTCAAACACAGAGTGGTAGCTGAGAGAGACGGCTCAGAAGTCTTCAGGTTTAAGTTAATTTGGATACCGTTATATGATTCATACCTGGAACAGGCACTCCATATACGGCTACATCAGTGTGTCCCAGCAGCCCACTGATGACTCCCTCCACCTCTGTGGTCGAAACATTCTCCCCTCTCCAGCGAAACGTGTCCCCGCTGCGGTCCTTGAAATACATGTAGCCATACTCATCCATCACCAGCACGTCACCTGTTGGCCAAAAAATGCTCAAAGTAGTCAGATAACTTATCCTAGAAGGAGAAAACAGATACGCCTACTGCTGTGGTGCAATACACAGGAACACAGATCCCTCCCATATTTTGATGTTACTACTGTTGCTGAATAAATTCATCTTTCATTGTAGTGCCAAATTCTCATACTAAATTTTTTTTAAATATAATAAATATAATGCTTTTGGTTTCTATTGATTTATAGATTTATTGTCATTCTATATTTACATGATTTTTAATCACTTAAACCCTCAAATTTAAGTGAATTTACAAAATATTACATTTATATCTTATATTTCAAAGTGATCAGATCCTTCTGATTGCTATTTCCTTTCTGTATTCTTTCCTGGATGATGACTATGATAGAATATAGAGCAGAAGTCTCAGGTATTCGATGTCCGGTCTCCAGACTAATAATAGGGTAAAAGCACACAGAGTTAACTGTTAGAGATCCACAGCCAGCAGGTAATTAGCTGAGCTGCATTTTTCAACTGGAACCAGGCAATTTGCCCAAAAAAAGCCTAATAATGAGCTTTGTGCATTTGAGAATAAATTGGAAAAGTGTATCTGGTAAATACAGAGGAGGATTGTGTCGTTTGTGGGTCCATATTTTTTCTAAAGCCTTGCAGGTGTATGTAGAGTACACAGCAAATGCATCATCATTGGATCTTTCAGGAACTTCAGGACATTAAACTTATTGATGGACATCACAGTTTTATGACCTAAATCCAATAGGAGGGCATTGAGGCATGCTGTTTGGGAGGAAAGCATAAGAGGGGCCTCAGGACCGCAGACAAACTACAGCTGAGGTGTCCAAAGTATCGCCTGCAGGCTGTTTATGACCTCTGGAGTCTGTGCAATTTATGATTACAACTCAAAAACCTCATTGCTTTTGTTCAAACATCATAGCAAACATTTAGGGATTTTTAATGAAAAGCAGACTTTGACTCCACCCATTTATTACAACCAGCTAAATATATCACTGATTATGTAAAGAGAAGGAGCCTCCTGTATCACATTTGTGTTAATGAGAACAAACTCAAACCTGTTTCAGTAGCCGGGATTTAAAAAGTCAATGAAACATCATGTATTCCTTTCTTTTAACAAATAAACCCAGAGGCTTTTAGATGTAATTTCAGCCTGAAAATATAAAACTGGACTAAATTAACAATAGCTCTATAAATATCCATTCTAAATGTAACCTCTTGATACCAGCGTAAATTTCTATTTATTATACAGGTATTATTTGGAACAATCTTTCTTAGTGTCTAGGTGGCCTTGTTGATGTTTTCTTTCTCCTGAATTGAAACCCTATATTTCAGGATTTGTTTTTGTTTTGCTCTTAAAAACAAACCACTGTTACAGTACCTGTAATGAAACATGCTTTGGTGTTGCCACTTATAAGGAGCAGTAGCCTACTGGAAATTTATGAAAAGTTCTTTTTCCTTCTAATAATGACTTTACACCTCCATACGTGCTACTGCAGCATGTTCTCCAGCTTTCTCACACTGGGAGCCTTTGTTTGAATACAGCCAAGCTGGAATTCAGATCCCAGACATGACATCATTAATATTCAGAGACTGACAAATAGACAGAATAAAACATGCCTGAGACATAAGCGGAGTCTCCCATCTGGAACACATTGTGAGCTATTTTCTGATTGGTTGCGTCCTGATCAGCGTAGCCATCAAACCGCCTGAGTGGATCCGTGTCGCTGATGCGGCCCACTAACATACCCGGCTCCCCTGCACAAGTAGAGGCAAATTTAATCACTGGGAACTGCGTGTGTGTTTGTGAGTGTGGGGGGTTATATGTGTTACCAGGCAGACAAGGTATGCAGAGTCCCTTTGAATCCCTGAGCAGCTCTTTCTCATCCTCTTTCACCTTAACCAGCCTAATGGGGTAAAAGTTAGGTAGGATCCTGCTACTGAAGCCGCACGCTCCCACCTGGATGGGCAACATAGGACACATTTCAATGACCTAGAGCATAACCAAGATTTTTCACCACAGCATAAAAGCCCACCTTGCCATCTATGTTGAGCAGACTGCAGTTGCATTCAGTTGCACCATAGAACTCGCCAACTCTTTTGATCCTAAACCTACGGACAAACTCTTCCCACACGGACGGACGGAGCCCGTTACCAATGGCAACTCTGACCCGATGATGAGCTTCGGATTGGCGGACGGGTTGAGCCAACAGGTAGCGGCAGATTTCACCGATGTACTGGATTACCTAAGGGTTTCACAGACAGAGGCCCCATTGGGAGACTTGTTTACTGAAGAAAATCTATTACCCGGCATCCAGCTCGTAGCAGCAGTATCCACTCACAGTACAGTTGTGTTTGACACAGTCGTCCCAGAAGCGACTGGCTGAGAACTTTCTCCTGATTACAACTGTAAGGCCGAAGAGTAAACATTGTCCCACACCCATGATGGTGCCTGCAAACATAAACACCAACACATAGAGTAAACAATGGGAGACCCCAAACCAAGAGATTGCTTAAACATGACTGGCTCTAAACAAATATATACCCTCTTTTTGGTTTTGATCTGTTCTTTAACTTTTTTTTTATATTTAAATGCTTTGTATTAGTATATATTATGATATAAGTCTCATATTAAGTGGAAAAAAACAGAAAATTAAACCGGAGAGGAAATGAAACATGAACAGCAATAAAGATTAATCATCAAAACATAAAACACAAAAAAACTGGATCGGTTGATTATAGAAAGGTTTAATAAATTGTAATCATGCTTCTGTTAATAAAAGAATTAACAGGTTAAATAAATAAATAAATAATAAAACTATCAAATATAAAAGATTAAGTTATACAATCTGTGATCTTTTTTTAAATGACACTTTAAATCCTTTTTTGAGAGATGTCAGTCCCATTATATAGTATGGCTGGGTAATTGATTGCTTTTTCCATTTAGTTGCAATTTGACACAATACAATTTTCAGATCACAGCAACACTCAGTTTTAATCACACTATATTTCACAAGATTAAGACAATTTATTTCTCAGTCCAGCTCTTTAGGTGGCCGTAATACACTTGTAGTGGGTTTGTCACCACACAGAAAGGTAAAGAGAGTTGCAGCTAGCATGCATATCCATGCATTATAGTAGAAGTATGCACCTTTACACACAAATGTTATAGTTCACTCCTGCAACAATGAACTGTTGGCAAGCAAGCTTTCAAAAACTGAAAGCCTGGGGTGAAACATCTATACAAGCTCTGGTTTAGTGCAAAAAAAATTCAAAATAAAATCGCAATTTTGGTTATTAATTATCACAATTTTGATTTTTTTGCTCAATTGTTTCATAGCTAAATCAAATGTCTTGTTTTAATAAAAATAAAACCACTTTAAATCTATATTCTGCCTGCAGTATTAATCATTATTCATTTTAGGTATCTTTCTCAATTAAATTGAAATGCTAAAGGCATGAAGTTGAGCAGGTCAGTTGTTCTTAAAACACTTCAATATGATTGAATTAAACAGTTTTACAAAGAGTTTTAGAAAACTAGCTTTGCAACTGGTTTTTCTTTTATAACTAATGATTTCCCCCTGCTAAATGAAAAACAGTATTGATAAATGTTTTATGAAAAAAGGAGAAAAATATGTAAAAAATAAAATAAAAATAAAAAGGCGTTGATCAAACAGTGTGAGGCCTACCTGCAGAGTGATAGAGAGGAAGGCAGTTGTAGAGGATGTCATCTGGACGCAGACCAAAGGAGTGAAAACCAAAGGCAGCGATACGGAAATAACTGCCAAACAAGGTGGAATAAGGAGGGCCAGTAATCCCCATTTGTCCACCAGAACACATGTGGGTAAATTGAGAGCGATTAGGGCAAGTTAGGCTCTTTTATTTCACATTTGTTTTAGTTACAGCAGCAAACATGTCTTTTTTAGAGGGATTTTGTCCCTTCTAAACTGTTTCAACATTTGGATGGTGTTTTAAGGCTAATGATTGTAACAATAATGGTAGTTTAACTCCACTCCATTCCAATAGAATTTGGCTATAAGTTACCATGTGTTATGATACGATTTACAGCAATGCATCAACAGGTTAATTCTTTTGCTTCTATTGACAATCAACTTTAGCCCAATGCAGTCTACTTTAATGCAGTAGATCAGATAATTTTTGAGCTGAAACAATTAAACGAATTAATTGGGATTAATTTATTATTAAATTATTTGTCTAATTTAGTAATCGATTAATCGTTAACTGGAGTGTAGAGATTCTAAAATGTGTTTTTAGCTCACAGAGCAACCCACTTAGAGCAGTAATTAGGCCAAGATTGTAAAAAAAAATGTGTAAACATTTTGCATTTAATATAAAAACTATATAAAAAATACTGTCAAGTTCTATCCAGCACTCCTCAAGTGTGCTTGAGGAGTGCTGGATAGAGCTTGACACTTGGTTTAATTGACACTTGAGCTTGACACTTGGTTTAATTTTGCATAAAGTCTTCTTTAAGGAACCTTTTGCTATCCGATAAAAAAAATAATCTACAAAATAATTAGTGTTGCACCGATACCGATACCAGTATCGGACGGGTCCCCGATACTGCCCTAAAATGGTGCTATCGGTATCGGCGAGTACCAACAAATAGCGCACCGATACCATTTTGAGACCCATAAGTTTCTTCAACTATTGTCACCCACTCCAGGTAGGCAATAAAAAGTTCTACTGGATTCACTTTGTATTAGATTTTTTCCTGTTTCACAAAGGTAGGCAGCAGCTTGACAAAGCCATGATGGCAATTATTTTACATTATTATGCTATTGGTATCGGCCGATACTGCACAGCCAGGTATCGGGTATCGGTATCGGGGCCAAAAAATGGCATCGGCGCAACACTAAAAATAATCGATTTGCAAAATAATAATTAGTTGCAAACCTAGTTTATTTTCATTTGTCTGATCTGATTTTTTCAGATTTTTTTTTCACCAATGTAAAAAAAAAACAAGAGTGGAGAAAAGCAGCAGCTGCTTTCTTTTTGTCACACCTCTATTAAGAACTTTTGCAACATCCTGGTTTTTGTAGAGCTGAATGAAATAAACTCACCGGCTGTGCACCACTACAGCTGCCTTTGGCATTCCAGTCGTACCAGAAGTGTAAATGTAGAAAAGTCTTCCTGTGATAAAAACAAAGAGAAGGACACTGTGCTGAGGGATTATGCAGCTTTCTCATTCATTGCTGTTTATTCTTGGGTTTTACAGGGCCTCAGGTGTATGGCATTCATGCACCCACATTCCCCAATCATCCCCAAACATGTTTCTTTTTCTCCTAATAGCCTGAACAAGCAAAGACTTGAAGAGTCTCACAGGAATGTGATAAAAAGGGAGAAAAATTACTGATTATTTGAGAGCTTCAATTACAAATGCTTAAGAGTAATTATTTAAAGTGCTTAATGGATTAAAAATCTACTGTTACAAAACAGCATAACTGACTAGCTGTGACTTTTGCGTCAGTCTTGTGCAGGGACCTGTTGTTAAAATAAGTTCAATGAAATAGGGTCGTAAGACAGAGTGTTTTTTTGACAGGCTAAGACCTGCTGCGGGGAATGAATGTTGCAATCAAATAACAAGAGAAGTAACATTATGAATTTGCAGCCACACATTAATACATCAGCAGGATACAAGCTGCAGCAGGTTACCATTAAAGCCTTTCTTCAGCTTGTAGTTTGGTGGGTGAGTGGGGGAACAGGTCAGCAGAGCTTCCAGACTCTGAGCTGAAAGGCTGCAGGGTTTTTCCTTTTTCTCTTCTTCACCAGTGCAGAACAAAGTCATGGCGGGCTGTAAAGATCCTGCCACTTCTGACACAGCTGAAAGAACAACAGCATGTTGTGTGCATTAGAATGCATTGAGGGCAACACTTGCTCTGGAAAATAAGCTACAAAAAAGGATCAGATGTAATAGGATTTTCTGCCGTGAATTAATCATTATGGTACAACTGGAGTTTGTTTTATTCTAACACTATTTAAATTAGTGCTGGATGTTTTATTGATTTTTATAGATCTATTTTTTTGTTTATAAAGATTTTATTTTGGAAAAAAAATCCAGACCTTTTTTTTCCCACTCCTTGAACTTCCACAGCTCAGAGGGACATTAGTTAATCACTTTTTGATCTTTGATGTGAACTAATAATCGATCAGTCAGATTATGGTGAGAAACCACAATCTGCAACTATTTATTGTTATTTTTTTATAATAATTTATAATAATTATAATAATTGTATAACAGGAACGTTTCACAGCTTCAACGTGGTTACTCTTTAAATAAAGTTCACCTCCCGGATGAGATGACTGAAATAAAATCTGATTTTTAGATGTATTATATTTTATTACTTATTTTTATGTCAGGAAACTGAAGGGAGAGAAATAAAAAGATCAATTAGACTAGATGGGAATAAATCAGAGATTAGATTTTAAAGCTATATGGCCAGCCATTATTTAAATGTTCATCCATTTTAAAAACACACCAAAAAAAAACTAATATATGAATTAGATTTATAATTTAAAGAGATATGCTTCAGTTATTATTTGCTTCATATAATCTGAACAAATACAGCTAGAAAATAATCTAAATTAAACAAGGAGGATATTTTTACACTACATTTGATGATCTATACAAAATATGAGATTTCACTTTTAGAATCAAATTAGAAAATAAAATCACTTTGAAAACATAATTGATTTAATTATTAGGGAGGACTTGTTATTCAGTCTTACATTTCTATCTTAAAATATAGCTAAAAGGGATATTTAGATCTGCTGTATAGAAACACAAAACCTTATATTCTGATTATCTGTCTTTTAATCAGACTATGCTTCTCTGTTTTAAGCTAGCTGGAGTACGAAAACAAGTTTTCTGAAAAAATAATCACTAGCCTGCTGGAGTTTGGGCCCGTCCCTCTTGTCACAACTAATGTAAGTAATGGGAATTTGTTGGCCACTTTCTCAAACACACCTTTCCAGTTCTGCCCCACAAATTATAGGGTTGAGACCAGGGCTTTTTTTTTTTTTACTAATGTGATGAGATGCAGAAGTAGGGAAGGAGCTACATGGAGGGCCAGGTGTGGCCATGGACACATTCAGGCAATCATTAGCCCCCCTGTGGCCACACCTATCTGCTGATCCTATGTGAACTTAATTCACAAGCAGTTCCTCACTAAAACACAGGGTGGCAGCAGTAATACTCCAAGGAGAACATTCTCACTAATTTAACATTTAATTATCCTTATACTAATAATAAACTGACAAAAACAAAAAACAAACAAAAAAACACAACAGTCATTAATTCATAGCAATATACTAACATTAACAATGATAAATATAGAATTAATACTCTTTTATACCTAGATTTGTGTTTTATGGGGAAAGAAGAGAATTTATTATTTTTTCTTCAAGTATTCTCAGAATATTTCATGTAAATAGAGAAAAACCCATTAGTAGGTATTATTATATGTATTATGCAGAACAATCAGTAATTAAAGTATAGTGGGCAATTTTTCTAGAAAGAAAGACTCACCATCCGGCCTGCTTTTCATCCAGTATGTGCAGGAATCTCCCAAATGTACTCTATTCCATATTTCTTTTTTTCTGAGGACTTCCTCTTCTTCTCACAAAAGTATATGACTATATCTCAGCCGTTTTTAAAAGTATATAGAGCTGGAACCAACTGGAACTGAAGCTAACTGGATACTTAAACTCTAGATGTGGACATGCACAGCAAGAAAAGGCCGATACATAAAATGTTTCCCCTGAACTCAAAGCCAAAAAAAAACAATCCATATACATTTAATTAAGAGAGTATGGATTTGGATATATGTATGTCTATTTATTAGCAAGGGCTTAAGGAAAATCTAATTGTCCTTAACTGGAAAATCCGTATTTTGTGCTTATGTCTGCTGATGCGCTGTAGATTGGCCCTGAATTGGATCTGACACATTTCTACCCTCAGCCACCCCTTAGTTCACACTGCTCCCTTTCTGGCCACCCCTTTAATAGTTTTCTGGCTACATCCCTGTGCTTTATGGAGGACCAATCCTGCCATAATTAAAAATAAATACAGAAATAAATAAATACTCCAAAAATAAATAAGCATACAATTAATTGTCCCCCATAAATACAATAAACAAATAAATGTAGGTAGAATTGAAATTATATAGTGAGACATACATAGATATACTGTATATCTCTTTTAATTAGCTTCTTTGTTTATTTGCCTTTGTAATAATTACCTTATTTATTTATTGCTTGTTATATTCTTCAACTTTATTTATTTATTACTTATTTCTTTAAGCATTTGTTTATGTGCATGTTCTAATATTTTTGTCTGGTTTATTCTTCCTTTGTGTTTGTTTTACCCTATTTATTTCTTCCATGCTATTTATTTCTGCCTGTCGTATTTACATTTCTGTATGCATTTCTGCCTCATCATGCAAATGAGAGAGGGGTGTGTCTTAAGGGGACACCTTCTGCCCATTGGTGGCTTAGCATCCAATGGCCACAGTCACAACAAACATGTCTACCTACGATGAAGCTGTCAGTGAGCAACATAGCAACATAGTGCTTTAGGTCATTGTGTGTTTTACACTGGAGCTTTGTCTTCGTGGTGATGCCTTCAGATTTTGCTTTCATAGTTCCCTAAAATGCTCTGTTCTCATGATACCATCTACTCTCTGAAATCCTCTGCTGCCTCTGTACTTCATCCTTACAATGTTCCAAAGTTTTTCTCAAATGCAGCGATGGTCATTGTGGTCAAACACAGTCATTTTAGCATCACCAAACTAAAGCACACCTCCAGAAAAATGATCTCTGGGTGAATTTGAGAATTGCAAGCCAGCTTACCATATTGTTTTTAAAATAATGGTTGTGTCCAAATACCCTTCCTAACCTTATGCCATTTTAGATGAATTTCCGAATGTCTAGTGGATGCAAAAGTAGGGGACTCAAAATTTCCCACAATGCACCTTGAAAAGTAGTGTGCAACCATGGTCACTAGATGAACAGATATATCCTAGTTTGCTTTACCAGAGGTCTCCTTGCAAAGCATTATGGGATTTGTTGTAGCAGCGAGAAAGAACAAAGATGGAGCAGGCACCGTACCGTGCAAGGAGGTGGAGTTATGTGACCAATGGGGATTGAAAAATATTGATCATTTGTCCAAACGGTCATTTAACTGACATCACCATGAAGTCCATTATATAGTCCCTGCTCTATATAGTGATTGAGGGATTTAGGGGTTAGGGCGGACATTCTGACACAGCCAAGGTCTGAGAGGCCTTTCAGGTCATGTTGGTAAGAGTAATTTTATTAGTTAATTCCCAACTTTTCATCTAATAGTTTTTATTACTTTTTAAGGTTTTTATGGTGTCATAAAATGAAGAACTATTTTTTATATCTCCACATTTGGGATTTTATTTAACTCAAATGTTATCAATTACTCCGAAGCTGACATAAATAAACTTTGTCTAAGTTTGTTTTGATGTTTAAAAACATAAAGATTTTGGTATATTTAAACTTGTGACTTTTCAGATATAAAAATAAAATGTAAAAATTCCTGGAAAAAAAACATTTTCTCCGGAATTTAACAAATAAAAATAATTGTTATTTTATTTGATCTAAAACAGAAGACATATAGTCGGGTTGAGGGTTGCGCAGTGAACAGAAATGGGTTGTATGTTCTTAAACTGTCCTTATACCTATTTTTATATCAGCTGCATGTCTAACATGATGCCTCATTCCTACCTTCATTCAGTTCTGCTCCAAACACCATGGCCCGAGCTCCACACACAGCGACACAGTGCAGCAGGGATTCTTGTCGAAGGTTGTAGTTAATGAAAGCAGTTTCTACACCCACCATGGCCAGCCCCAGCCACAGAGCCACCACTGATGGATGATTTTCCATGTATAAAGCTACTACATCTCCCTCAGCCCAGCCCTGGGCCAGAGCCCAGTGAGCCACAGCATTGCATCGCTCCTGCAACTCCAGAAAACTCCAAACCTGTGGGGACCAAATATGGAAAACTGCACTTTCATTTTCTCAGTTACCAATTTTTTTTTTTTTGTCAGTAATGTATTCTTACCTCCCCTGTGGTGTCAAAGATCAAGGCTGGTTTGTTTGGATGCTGCAGAACTTTCTGAGCAAACAAGGCAGGAATGCTTGTTTTGTTTCGTAGATTTCTGTTTATGGAAAGTCTTACTCGCACAATAGCAGCCAGACACCTGTTAAACAAAAAAATAGAAAATAGAGGGAGTGATGGAAAGTCATTAATTGGAAAGACAGGGGTAAAACGTTTAATAAAACATGTCTAGCAAATACTTGCTTACATTAGATCTCTCTTAATAGTGCATGCAGCAATATGAAGGTTCTTCCAAGATCCCATCCAGAACACAAAGACTCCCAGGCCTGCTAACAGACTGGAATACCATGGGAGGGAGATGAACCCCAGCAGAGCCAAAAGAATCAGGCTTAAAATCATACAAATCCACAGCTTCATAATCTGCAGAGAAGCAGTTCACAACAGGGTTTAAAGAAGCGTGAGAGGAATCTGGGGCAAAGGGATTTAGATTACAATAGATAGAAATGTATTTACCTGTGCAGTGATTTTACAAAAAGCTCCACTGAGAAGAAGAAGAATCAGGGAACAGTGGAAGAAGTAATTAAGGCAGAGAGGGAGCAGCAGCAGGCGCTCCGAACAGATGTTTCCAGAGCAGCTGTCAGAAATGAAATGCCTGATAAGAAGCACAGCAGAGAGCGGAGCAGGTTACAACTCATGGCTCCTGCGTCACAGCGGGGTGTGTTGTTCATCTAAAGCTAAAATGGAGCTGTGTCTTTACGAGGAGCAAGACACTTTTTTATTTTATGAGATGTATCATAAATCTTCAGCAATAAATACAAATGAGATCAGACTCTTATGCAGACCCGGATAAATGCAAAGGCAAAACAGGGCATGTCCCCAGATTGTCAGGGGGGGGGCATAGAGAGAGGGACAAAAAAAATCAATATAAATATTTAAAAAAAGTAGCAATATGTAAAAATAGAAATAAATAGGAGCAAAAGAGCAGGCAGTGGGGGTTTTACAGGAGTTTCTGTCAGGAAGCCATCCAACAGATTTGAACCTGTTATTATAAGAGACAAAAAGGCCTGGAACAAGTGAAAACATTCCAGAAAGCAACAGTAACAGAGAAGAGGCGTCTTCCCTGCTGGCAATTGAGAATTAATATACAACCTCTCTGAATTATTGAGGACATTGCCTTAACAAAACTCAGGAGAAAGCGTCTATAAATGCATGTTTTCAAAATTTAAATCTGAGTACCGGTAAGTAAAGTGGAGATTTAAGCATAACATAAAATGCATAATAATTAAATGTATAATATAGGGTAATACAGTAATTTCTATTAAAAAAAAAATTGTAATTACATTTCAGGAACAAAACATGCACATTTAAATCTCAAACAGTTATCTTTGATCTCATGCATTTTATTATTTATTTTATTAGGCCTCAGATGCTAGAAAGCTCAAAATTATCCATTCTCCACACTTGCTAAATGCTTTCCTCAGGCAGTGCTGCTAGTTTTATTTACGGTATTATCATTTACTCTTGGACAGTTTATAAAAAGTCTGGAGAAATTTGAAGGATTCATGTTTGTCTTCTTGTTCCTATAGTTAATCACAGGTGTGAATATTGTCTTCAGAGGAAGGGATGAGAATTTTTACTCATCAAATTCAGTTTTCCTTCACTGTCTGAACGGCTCAGATGTGTTCTTGGTTCAAACATAAGGATCAAGTTATTTAATTATTGTTTATTTAAATGTCCTTGCACAGCAAAGCATCCAGATAATCATCCAGACCAGTGGAGAAAACTGCTAAACAGTCCAGACCATGGAGCTGAGCTGCTGAGTGTTGAAGACCCGAAAATTGAAGATAGGTGATGCTTGTCCATAAAAAAAAACATTTTTACTTTATCATTACAGCAAAGTTTCTCTCACTTCAAATTTTTATCTTTTTATATTGAATTTAATAAAAACATTTAATGAAGATGCAATAGCTTACTACAGTTATCGTATTTGTTTACAACACAATGCTTACACTTATAGTGATTTACTGATAGTACTGCCTTAACAATGACATTCACAATGGATAAGGATAATTTAATAGTTTCTATTAGGCTTTTTAATAACATATAAATAAGGTAATAAAAGTTTAATATAAAACTTTTATCTTGTAATATCTTCTATTAAAAATAGACTGTTTTATATATGACTAATGAACTAGTCAGACCATACAGTCTGCCTAATTTAGACCATTTATTTAATCTGGCTCTGCTTTTTGCGTCCAAACACAGTTTTTAATTTTTGAAAAGACCTGCTCTCTCCACTTAAAAAAAAAAAAAATGCACATGCACAACCCTATAACCACTCCCAAGATGTAACAACTATTAAACTCGTGCAAGAGCATGCACAAGCCCATTTCTCCTCCTGCACACTCTGTGTAAAAGTTGCTGTTTGCATCGCTCATCCAAAAGATTTCCACATTTTCCACTATGTTAGACTCCACCACCAGTAAATGAAAATGGGGACGAGCACGTAGGATGGCCTTACGTGAACATATCACCAGAATGATTGATAATTAGGAGGACCACTTATTTAGATGATCCACACGGATACAAAACATCCTCTACTATACCTTTCAGTGATTTAATTTAGAAAATAGGTGTGTGGGCACCAGGGTTGAATTTACTGTGGGGTTTTTGGTGTCTTTACACAGGGTCAAAGGTATACACACAGACTTAATTGTACGTATTTAATCTAGAATTGTATATACAATTAACAGTATCCGATAAAATTAGATCAAATTATTTAGATGCTCTCCAGAAGCATGTTTCTCATAGGAAACCAAAAAGACATCTCTTAAAGGTCAAAAAGAATGGAACTTGCTTAGAAACATGTACTTAAATCCTGGTGGAGCTGTATCTATATGTAATTAAACCTTTTGACTGACAGTGAATCAAGTAGAAAATCCACATCTATTCAAACTTGTGAACTAAATCTTCTATGCTTTGTGTTTAGCGTTTATTAAAAGGAAATGTTACAAGTCCAAAATAATGACATTCATCTTTAGGGGCTATAAGCAAACTGTAAATCGGTATTCTCAAAAGAGAGGATATAGAGATTAAATAAACATTTCAACGATAATCTAATTTATTTAATGGGTCTGTATGAAATTTGTGATAAAAATAACATTTGAAGCAAGAGTTTTCACATGAATGAGCTTTATTTAAATTTATAAACAATATTATTTGAAGAAAAAGTACCAAATAGTGTAAAGATTCAAAGTAAAAAAATAAGCATATTTATAAATGTAGATATAGTATACTCTAACAGAAAGGATTCTTACATTCATAATAAAGCTACATTTAGCTTCTTTACATAAATACATTTTTTGCTTTGCTTTGCAGGAATACAAAAAAAAAAAGTTTCTTGATAGTAATAATAAAAACAGTTACAATAACAAACCAAACAATGTTTCTGCTGGTAAAACGGTTTCAAGAGGAAACAAAACACCATAGAGAGATTTCTGAAAGCCCCTCCTTGGGTAAGAAAGGGCGTTTCCCACTGTTTTTTTAAAACATGTTCAAAATATTCAGGTTGTGTAAATGTAACTGCTTCTATTATTACGCAGCAATGTGAAGAAAAAAAAACAACCTTTAGCTGTACTAAATCTTTTTACAATGGAAAAGTGCAATAATATAAACCAGCTGAGATCTGTATAAACACTATAGCTGTCTGAACGCTCCTTGCAGAGACAAAGCTTCCGTCCTACAGTAACTTACATCTTTTGGGACATAGACAGGAGCTAGAATAAGAAGACAGTCACTAAATGGACAATTATTCCACAAACACTGCATGATGGGAGGAAGCTGCTGCAGGCTTATCAGAAGGGTGGGCCTGTTTTTGTTGATTCCCCAAACTGGTATCCTTTCCCTGTTGGGTTTACTTGGTTTGCAGTTGCTAGAATAATAATAATAATAGCAGAGCACAGCTCAGTCATTACCTTAGATGGAGTGTTTAATGTTAGCCATGAGTGACTGAAACAAAATATCACTCATTTTGTTTAAAAATCTACAACCTGGAATATTAGGGAAATCTAGACGCTATGAGTTTCTGTCCCACTGAAAACAAATGTTTATTTACAGTATGTGGAAACATAAAACAGAAATACAGCCAGGAAAAAGAAACTAAATACCTTTTTTTGTTTGTTTTTTTTCCCGATAAACATGTTTTTCAAATGTGGCTATTGGCATAAACTTCACATCAGATGTTCAAATAAACTAAAGTAATCCACTAATCCAAAGAAAATATGTCTGGAAATATGTGCAATAAGGAGGAAAAAAAACAAAACAGGATAATAGAAATGCTCAGATAAATCAAATGCCAAGTGAGACTTTCAAAGTATAGAAATCTGATAAAATCTCCAAATATTTAGAGATATATCAGTCTGCCTCCTCGCTGCAGATTAATATCATGGGTTAATTCCTGGTTGATGCTAATAAAATAGAGTCTTGCCAAGATATCAAACATGTCATCTCCAAATTTCCTTGCACTAATATTGTTGCAAAACTTAATGATTCCATTTTTGTTTTTTTACAGACAAATCTGGGAAAAAATAAAATGTCACACTTCTCTAAAGACTTCTGAGAGAGGATTGAAAGGAATAACAATGAGAATCAAAAACCGCTGAAAGAGCATCACAGAACGACCTGAATATAAGACATTGAGTTTTCAATAACAATGATAAAGCTGTAAACTATATTGGCTTTTATAAAAGCTAACTGCACAAGACTCTGCTGCTGAAGAAAACGGGAAATTAAGTGAATTATCTGCAGAACATGTATACAAACTAATGAAATGCTGGGAGACATGAGCCCAGGAGTGGCACTGCACATAAAAACACCATAAAAACAGGGACGTTTGCAAGTGAGAACATCCTGGTTTGGGGCCATTATTTACCATACGGACAAGATTTCACATAATTAAAGAAGATGACGGTGGATTTGGATTTCGGCGTGACAATGAATCTAAAATAGTATCCCCTTATACACAAATACATAAATTTAATGGAATCCCTTAACCAACTTACAATCCAGCTACATTCATCCAAATCTGATCCTAGTTATGATACAGTTTAAAATATTTGGCCAATAACCTGATTTCAGCACTAAAGCTACATTGAGCTGTTATCAATGTTAAGTGTAAATGTAGTGAAGTGCTAAAATAGATCCTGGCATAGAGTGGAGGTTTAACAAGGTCTTCAAATTTCCAAGAATCCAAGAATAAAGAATGAATTGGAATCAAATACATTACATCCTTTATAAAATTGTGATTACTTTTCGCATTAAACTGAACAGCAGAAAAATAGAGCTAGGCCGTATGATATTATATTAATTGTTGTTACTCTGACATGGTGCATGATATTATGCTTGTTAAAGCTAAAGTGATGATAAACATGTATAGTATGAGCTGCTTCAATTGATGTGAACATCTGGTGTGAATTTCATGATAATATCCTCATTAAAGATATATTAGCTGAAAACAATTCATATTTATTCAATATCCTCTTCCTAACTGTATGCACAAACAATCAACAACAAATTAATTTTTACAATGAACATTTACATACCTTACAGTGCAAACTATCTGCTCATGCGTGTATAACTTCTAATGTCTGCACTCTGAAATAAATATATTGAAATCCATAAAAGTGAGTTTTAGTTGCTCTGAAGTTAGTACAGCTTATTCTATAACTGATATGTTCTGGATGAACTGTAGCATCACTTTAATTCAAAGAGCTCCTGAATGCAGATTTTTTTTTTTTTTTAAGGCTCACAGTTTCTAAATCATCCGGATAATTTTACAGCAAAGGTTTCGACAACTTTATCAATCTACTACAACTTGTTCTCTTAGGAATGCCGGTATTAGTATGATAATAGGTGGGATAACTATCAGGCTCTATGGTTTAAGAGGTTTTTTTTTCTCTAGGCTTGATTTTTGATTTTTCCCTTTAAAATAAAAAGGACAGCGCTATTGGAGCCATGAAGTGATGCTTGTTTTTAAGTCCTTAATACCAGCAGAACTCTATTAAAGGTCAATTTGCATTAAATTTGAAATGGTTTTCTTAATACTGAAATGCATATCTACAATTTTCAAAAAGCTAAAGTTGCTATTATTTTCAATGGTATGCAGGGGGCAACCTTTTATCTAGGCGAAATGTCATTATCTATTAAAAACCTTTTTTTCATATTGTTTGTAAAGCCAGAAGTTAAGAACTGATGAAATTTGGTAGATATTTAATGGTTGCTTTAATATTTTTTTTTTATCATGGTCCCTTTTAGAGTGAATCTAAATGCAAAGCTGAGCAGCTACTGAGTTGAAGGGTTCGGTTTTTCACGATTCACAGTCTGACCACCCTAAACTCAAGTTTCAGCAAAATCCTGAAACCAGCTGATGGTTCCACTTCATTTGTTTCTGCTTTATAGCATTTATTTTTCTGTTCTTAATACATATTAAACAAACAAACAAAAAAATCACTCATGGTTGACATTGATCTCTTTTTTCTCTTTTTTGTTTTTTGTTGGGGTTTTTTTTTTGCTATTCCAATGGTCAGAAATGGCAGGTTGAAAGATCAATAAATTAAAAACCCTAAAATATAGGCATGAGAGGAGTTAATTTTTTTTCTTGGCTATTTCAATGTCAGTCTGAATGGCTTATTTTCTGTCCATGAGGCTGAGGAAAAACAGCGTAGCTCTTCATATTTGGGATTCTCCTGTGATCTGCCCACTCCGGGAACCCTAAAGAAAAAGAAATCACACCATGAGGAAAGCTTTAAAAAAGGTTTTCCAGCTTTTAAAATCAGTTATTAATACCAAATGAAACAAATACGTTTAATAATGAACTGTGAGGCAGAGGGGTAAAAGACATCAGTTTTAAAAAAAAAAATCAAAACAGATTTTAATTATGTTGCAGCGTAGGTGTTTTATCCGTTGGATCAAACATTAGTGCATGTAAGGTGTGCAGGGAAATAAACATACACTGGTTGCAGGACAACAGCCCATGAGGATTTAAGTCTACCACTGGTTTAAACCCATCATCAGCATCGAAACTAATTCCCAGCTTTCCTTAAATCTTTCTTATGTTCCATACTTACTGCTCTTTTTTTTTTTTTTTTTTGGAAAGCAGGACTTCCAGTTTCTAATGCTAATCTTTTTCAGTGAAAAAAAAACTCAAGGTCTCAGACCTTAACAAATGAATGCATGTTACATGTTTTTGCTTGGTACCAAATTCGTACTGTATTCTTATTCAGCCTATTCATTTTATTTTCATTTCTTTTTGAGTTTTTAATTGCACTCTTGGCTTGTTTTTTTGACAGTAGGCTGACAGGAAAGGGGGTTTGAGAGAGGGGGAGAGAAATGCGGCAAAGGACCACAGGTCGAATTCGAACCCGGGTCAGCCACGTCGAGGACTAAGGCCTCTGTACATGGATCATGCGCACTAACCACTGCAGCACCTGCACACCCTATTCAGCCTATTTTTTCAGAAAAACAACTCCAGATCTGCTGACACTACTTTTCTTTAGGCAATGAGAAATGCAGGTTGGAAATGAGAGGTAGTGAAAACCATGGAATGGAAGGATTTTAAAACCCAGTGCCACTCATTACTGGCCTCCTAACTGCTGTCTGTAAAGCAGCAAAATCATTCATTTGTTTTATCATTAGGGTGGAGTCTCATCTATAAAACAATGTGTAGAATCCATACTAAAAGGATGTATGTATATATATATATATATATATACTGTTAGAAATATTTTATCTATACTCCGTTTGTGTTTGATGGGTTGTGTTCTAATGAACTATTATAACGGAGGAAACACAAGGTTATTAACTCTTGCTTAAGATTGTTCCAGATAAAGGTCATGCAACGGACGGGTTGTGAAGGAGGCCTGAACATCCTCTATCACATGCTGGGTTGTAAAAGAGACCTGAACAGCCTCTATCACATGTTTCTTCTAAAGATGTGTTCTTGGAACAATTCAATTGTAAAACAACCACATGCTTTGTTTTAACATATGTACTGAGGTTTAAAGTAAGATCCTTTTGTTTCCCCTTTCCCTTTAGTTAAACCTCAGCTGATGTAATTAGGGACATCCCATTTTCTTCAATAAATAGCAAGGAGAAAGCTGAAGACTGCAGAGTTTACAAATCTCCAACCCACTCTCCTTCCACTCCTTCCTATTCTCCTCACGAGTAACTAAATTAATTGTCTCTGTGCTTTCTTTCTTTCCCTGTATGTATGTATGATGTTTTAGGTGCTTAGACCTGACATATACATATATAGAGAGTCTCAATTGTAAAATGATAAATTGATAATTGGGGACATCAAGGCAGCGTTGCAATTATCACTGACTTTGATATCTCAGATTTAGGGATGAAATTCACTGAATTATTTTGTCCCCTAAAAGCCGCTTGATAATTATGTTTAAGCCCAATTTGTGCAGGTGACAGCCGTCTGGAACCGCAAAGTGGTTAACAGCTGTAACCTACTAAAAACAAAACAAAAAGCCCCATGATGGGGCAAAGCAGCACATCTATCTATCAGGGTTATGGGGAAGAATGTATGTGTTTAGGCTACAACTTATAGCCTATGCATATACACACACAGAAACACAACCACACACTTACTTGTTCTGCCATCGTAGTGAGGACCATGTATTGACTCCAATTTTCAACCCTTTCTATGCCCTAACCCTAAAACTAACCATTACCAATGCACACCTCACCCTAACCCTTACCCAATTGACACCTTAGCCCTAAACCTTACCATTAGCAACTTAGCTTGTGAGGACCGGGAAAATGTCCTCACTTTGCTGCAACTGGTCCTCAATTTGATTGTGAAATTGGAAAAGTGGTCCCCACTCTGAGGGCTAGACAGGTCATACACACACACACACACACACCTTAACACATAAAATCTGTTAATATTTATTTGAGTTTCTTTAGAACCGTGCACCTAGCAAAGCTTTGGATCAATGCTCACGGTCCACCTGTTTAACAGATGTGACATACGTATAGTAATGATGTGAGTGTATTTGGGTCTGAGAGAAATGCTATAGTAAGTTTGATCAGCTGATAACCGGTCATCATCCAGGTCATGAAACACTGATAATCCCTAAAAACATGTTCCCTCTTAATTCTAGCCTGATAAACCAGACTAAATGGGAGATGAAAGGTGTTATTTATTTCAACTTGCAGGCAAAAATTATTGGTCGCTGGCGGGTGGGGCTAGTTTACTAATTAATTCACCAATTTCCAAAGTCACCAGCATAGTTAAATCCCCCATAGTGCACCATTACGCACAGATGGTTCAGTTCTATCTATAGCTTTACAGCAATGCATGTAAATTCTAACATTTTGTTAGAGAGGACACATTTAAATATGTGCAGACCTCGAATTTCTTGTTATTTATGACAGTACCTCAGTGCCAACACATTTCACACTGTGGTTTCAGATCAGATCTGACAAAGTCGATCCACAATAAGAGTTTCATCTGAAATTAAATAAAATGTGTGAGAAAAGTTATGATGCAATCTGGTTTCTGTTCCCGTCATCACTCGCCATCTGTGTCGCCAACTTCTCCTCTTTCCAACATATGGATGACCCATACGATGGGTCGGAGTTTATGTGACGGACCTCGCATTTTCACATCAGGTCTGTTTTTATAAATCAAAACCTTGGAAATTGTGGAATTTTCAAGGCCCATTTTATGTATAAGGAAGCTCGATAAATGAGTCCACTGGTATTTTTACTCAAGATTTTCACACGTCTAATGCCCCTTTTTCCAAGGGCTCCACTTAAGCTGGCTTTACTTCACTCAGCCCACTTTGTGAGCGTTTCCATTACCGTTTTGATTTTTTGTTCCAGACTGCTGGTAAGAACAGAGCTGAATATGTCTGAAATGTGAGGTGAACAGACTGCTTTTCACTGATCAGACAAGGAGAAACCAAAAGGTTTGGTTCAGGTAGTAAAAAATGAAAAGAAAATATGACTAGACTGACTAAGGTCTATGTGAAATTAGAGATTTCCTTTGTTAATTTTGAATGTTCTATAAAAATATACATTGATTAGATAATAAAAACAAAAAAATACTGTTTTCATGGTAAAAATGCCAGCTGTTTATTTTTATTTTACTTTTCCCTCATAGTTGGGTTTTGTTTTCATAATATTTGATGTCTAACCTTGGCAAAAAGTAGTTAATTCAAGTACACTAAAAGTGCACCAATTTCATATTAAAAATCAAGCAGTGCATTTAGAGTTTACTTCTAAACTATATTTCATATATGTAACAATAGTAAAGTCAAGTGTATTTGACTATACTATTGTTTACTTTATTGTTTACTAAAGTATACTTTAGTAAATTTAGAAATGTCCCAATTTAGTTCAAATAAGTATTGCTTTAGTAATACTTCAAGTACACTAAAAGCACATTTTTGGGTATACTTTCTAAACTTATACTTAAATATTCTTAATAGAATTTACTTCAAGTATACTACTTTTTGCTAACAAAAAGGCTTTAAAACATAAAATGATGTGGTTGGTTGTAGTTTAAGAGATATTTATTATTCATATGACAGATTAACAGATAAAGTCTAATGAAAAAAAGAACTTCTTAAAAATGACTCAGAGGTCAATAGTTAAGAGAACGTTTCCTTTTACTGGTGAGCTTATATGAGAAACAGGAAACAGCACTTACTTGAGATTGACTGCTGGACGGATTGGTGCTGCTGAAGTCTGAGTACCTCTTCTTTTGTGGTGTGCAGACGCAGGAGAGAAGCTGAACATACTCATCTCTCACCTGCAGGGGGCAGCAGAACCACAGGGACATTTTACAGCCCTGTGTGTTTATTCTAATCCCAAAGTTAAAGCAATGATAAAGCCTTTCTTCTCTACAGGTCTACAAATCGTGTCTGTTTTGTTGATTCTTAACATATCCTCTTCCCCCCAAAACAGCATTCACTCTCACAAAAATCCCTCTGAGCTTCCTACCTGTTTAGACAGCAGGCAATGCATGATGAAGACCAGGGCACCCTGTAGGCTGTTGAGGATAGTGAAAATATATGCAAGCGCTATTGTGCCTTCGCTGAACAAGAAGGCTCCAAATACCCACATGAGTCCAAGTATGCACATTTGGGCAACGGCAGTGACTGTGAAAGCTCTGGAGTAAAAAAACAAAAATAAGAAATAAAGAGAAAGGAGAAAGAGAATGTCATTAGATGACTCGAGAACCAGGTGGGGGGTACAGATAAAAGCTACCAGTAAGATTTTTAACATTGCTTGAATCTTAAGTGAAAAACCTAAAATGTTTTGACAAAGGTACAACCATGCAAACTATAATGGATTGGGTTGTGGTACTTCTTTTTTAATTTTCTGAATCACATTTTTTCTGCATTTACAAATCTTTTCAAAAGTCCATTTTAGTTTTGCATCTCTAGATTAAAATCTCTGCCCTTTCAGTTTTGCTTACAAGCTTAAACTCAAACTGTGTAGATGAAGCGTGTTTATGAACAGATGCATTTTCTAGGACACAGACTGTTTATCAGATACTTGTTCTGAGACATGTTCACGTCATAAGGTGAACCTTCCATGTTTCCTGCTTGAAAACCCAAACAGGAACCAAAAACTGACATAAAATACCTGTTTCTGTCAGTCAGACCTACATTTAGGGAAGTTGTAGAGTTGTTGAAAACATTTGTCACTTAAGTCAGTTCCAAAATACTTTATTAATGTCATTGGAAATTTAAATATTGTAACTCTTAGTGGTTTCCTTAGTAATATGTTGTAGTACATTTTTGAAGCCTCCTTTAAGGACATTTTTACATTTTCTATGCGCTTTTAATATTTGTATAACACGTGCATTTTGTATCAGCTACATTTTTTAATAACTACAAAATGACAATAAAGACCCTTTTTGATTGCTTTAGGCAGTTACAGAGTTCTGAAATAAAACTGACTGAAGTCACTATGATGTTTAACATATAAACAAAATTACTCATAACAGATTTTTTTTTTTATTTTACAACCACAAACCTTAAAAAAATAAAAATTTTAAAAAAAGAGGAAAAAAAGTTCAGATTGTCTATTAAAGTCCAGCCAGGGACATGTAAAGGATGTTACAGATGTGGGCCGGGGGCTCTCAAAAGCCCAGATTTTTTTTTAGCATTGCCTAGCAACCAGCTCCATCAGTCTGCAGATCAACTTTGAAGTTTCCTCAAATCATAATAATTTTAAGACTATAGTTTTACCATTAGGACAGTGTTTTTAGAATTAGAAGCAGTGTTACATTAAATTCTATTCTAGGAAATGCTACATACAAGGATTATTTGAGGTTGTTGCAAATTTATCATGAAGAGAAAACTAAGAAATCATATACACATAAGAATGCAAAGCCTTTACTTAATACTTTGTTGATCCACTTGTGGTATTACAGCCTCAAGTGTTTTGGAATCCGATACCACAAACCAAGCACACCCATCTATTTGCAGCCTCTGCCATTCCCCTGCAGTACTGCTCTAGGGCTCGATGGAGCTAGAGTTGCTTAGTTAAGACGGTCAGACATAGGAAGGGTCTCAATGGTCCCAAACTGATTCCAATTACTTTCAAAGTATCTGATGTTTTCTGCATCCTTCCCCAGATTTGTGCCTGAAGATAATCCTTTCTCAGACGTCTAAAGACAAACTCTTTAACTTCAGGCTTGGTGTTTGTTCTCTGGTTTGCTAGTCAGCTGTGGGACCTTACAGGTGCATTCCTCTCCTAATCATAGGTGGGCTCCACTAAAAGGTCCGATATCCTGTTGTTTTAACCCTTATATTTTTGATAAACAACAGTTAATGTTTTGAAGTGAGATTAACTTCAAAGCATTTAGAATATGGCTGTAACAGACTAAAATGTGTAAAAGCTGTGAATAATTTTCAGATCAGACGCCCTGCATCTGTTATTTGGGATCAGACTTTAATTTCAGGCTGGTTCAAACCAGATTCATGAACTCCATAAGCAATCTCTTCATCTTAGCAGAGATCCCTTTTCTCTCCAATCTCATACTTCATGAGTGCTTCTTCCAGCAGCTGCTTTTACGCAAGAAATTCCTTTTCCAAATTTCTCTGACTGACCTCTGATCTATGAGCCTCTGCTTCCAAGGAGAGATAATTTTAAACTAATGTATTTCACATCTGTACACAGTTATTGGGTGTGTGCTACCAACGAGGAATAATAAAGTAGCTTAGTGCAGATAGACAAAATCAAGGGGGGAAACCCCAGTCGGTAGCTCTTCAATAAAGACCCGAGGACAGTTCTCTGGAAGGATTCCATAAAAATTCTAATCCTTTTTGCTCAAAGCCTTTGCGCAATGCAATGCTGCTACACTTTCTTTTTATGTCAGGCAGAAGATTAAAAACAGCAACAGATGATATGGACACATTCACACGCTCATGGTTGCGGAGACTAGCCTGATTTTGTGCAGCTTGGAGAGGTCTGGGTTTAGCGTGGCAAACTTTTGGGCGAGTTTCCAGACGGTGATGATGAAGAAAAAGACATTCAGGATGATGATGAAGCAAACGGGCCCAAAGAAGCTCCAGATCAGACCATGCTGCAGAGAAAGCCAGCAACTATGGAAATGAGATGAAGGGAAAAAATTATTCACATCACGTATCAGATAAAAAGATAACAGCAAGTATGAGAACTCCTCTAAAGCAAAAAGTTTGATGCAGCGGCTATAGATTAATATCCTGGTTTGATTCCAAAGCATTTACTCTCAAACACAAACAAAAACACAGTCATTGTTACTTACTGATCTTCAGTGCCGTAGCCTCCTGATCTGATCATGACAGATATGATAACTATTCCAAGAGGCACCCCGTAACCAATGAGGTACAGATAGAGGGGCCGAATGGTGGCATTAAACACCAGGACAACCATTCTGTACAGCTGAACTCCTTCTAGAAGCATCCAGGTCATTACGCCCAAGAAGAAAAAATGAAGCATTGCAGCAACAAAACTGCAGCCACCCTGGAATATAAAAAAATATGAAACAGAAAGAACAGGTAAAAAAAACTCTGAATGTATCTATATTTATTAGTGTTGCATCGATACTGAAACCATTATCGGATGGGGCCCTGATCCAGCACTAAAATTGTGGTATCAGTATCGACGGCGAGTACAAACAAATAGGGCACTGATACCTTTTCCCGCTTCACAAAGGTAGGCAGCAGCTTGACAAAGCCATGATGGCAATTATTTTACATCCAAGTAGTATGCAGTTCTTCATATAGCCAGACACACACATCAATTTTAAACAGATGTATCGGTATGGTATAGGCCGATACTGCACAGCCAGGTATTGATATCAGGGCCAAAAAAAAAAAAAAAAAGGCATAGGCACAACACTAATATTTATATAGAAAATTGTTTATAAAGAGTAAAAATCAACATTTGCTGTTCCACAATGCTTTAAAAAGTATGTATAAGCCAAAATGTGGGAAGTGTTGCATTTGTATTCTTTGCATTTATATTTAACTAAAAAAATGCTATTGTAATGTTTGTTGTAAGTTGATGAGATAAGTTCTTGCAGATTTAATCTAAATTCCAGGAATAAATAAAGAAACCAAAACCAGGAGAAAATAAGGAGAAACACACACGTGGAGCAAAGCAAAGAAGACAGACCAGCACTGATGAACTGCCTAGAATGGTTATATATGACAGACAGAACCGAGTAATCAGTTAATTGGGAGCAGGTGTGGACAGAAGCAGCTAGAAAGGAGCCGAGGGGAAAGGAAACTTGCACAGGGGGCAACAGAGAGTAACACAAAAACACAACACTGCCAGAAGACACAAAATTACAGTGAAACTAAGAAGAAATCTAAACATAGGGCAGAACCCAGACAATTAATTTCAGGAACCACCTCACAAACTGAATTGGTTCCTACTCTGTAAAGGGTAACACACATAAAAGGACTGGCTGATTTTAGACCAACTCCCTTGGCCTTAAATTCTTGACAGGGTGTCTTACCTTAGGACTAGTTCGAGAAATCCCAACCAAGAAGATGAGATCCGCCATGAAGAGGCAGATGCAGAGGTGCAGATGGATGGTGGTTCGTGTTCCCTGAATGGATCGGCAGAACTTGAAGGTCAGGATGCTCAGTAGAAGACAAACAAGGGAGATGCCCAGGCCGATCTTGGTCAGCAGCTGGAGTTCAAAGGTGTGCTATAAGAGAAGATTGTTTTGGTTTCTTTTAGCTTAATTGTTCCTTTTTTCATTTCCTTCAAGGATTAGTCTGAGCCTCACTAGTTTAATTACTACATCTCTTGTTCTCCCTCAGATTAGTTTCTATTTCTAAATAAAAAAAACAAGAAAAACAGAAAACACCCTTCATCTCAAGATAAGACCGTCATCTTCCTGTCTTCGCTGTAGTCCAGTTCTCCCACATAGCATGATGCAACTATCCAAAAACTTTACTTGCAGGACAAGTCATAACACAAAGCTCTTTTTCATGTTTTTCTTGAAATCAGATCCATTTGATTTTTCTAAATGACATCCAAATCTAATTTAAACTTATATGCTATGCTCATCCACATTTTATTTACATTCTGCCCCTATTACTAGAGACAACGATGTATAAAATAGACTGTTTCCATCTGAGGGATTACATGTTTATTTCCTCCAAACAGTAGATATGCCTACTTTTCTCTCAAAAGCCCTAAATTATGTCCAGGTGTCTGTATCCAATGTGACCTACCTTCATGGGATAAAGGGCCATTAGGACAGCAAAGCTGCTTAGATGTTTGCATGAACACACAGTGTATGAGTCATTGGAGAGTTCCTGGGAGCAACCATCTGGAGACCAGACTCCCTTCTCATTCCAGTATGCACAGATGTATCTTGCCTCAGGGGGCTGTTTTATATCCTAATGTGAAAACCAAAACCAACCGTTAAATACAGGCTGTGTGTTACATTTATATCTTCATGAAATATCTAAGAGAACATTGCAATTTCCTCATGTTTTCCTGCAGTCTGGTCACAATTACCAGCAGCTACATAATTACCAAAGCTACTAGAAGTACGGATATTAATGCAGTTCACTGTCTCAATAATACCATAAAAGGTAGGCACAGTCAGTATTTTGCACCTACCTGTAGATGTCTGAATGTTATGTTGACAGGGCTGCTCAGATTCTGAGTTGATGGGTTGGAAACCACAACAGAGACAACTTTGGAAAAAATCTGGAAGGAAATGGCATCTTTTTCAAAGTCTTTCATGACTTTAAAAGATCTGTTCACAGATCTTTCAAGGTTCTTGTAGCTCAGCAGTGAGGCCAAAGCAAATCCTATTAGGGAGATTAAGAGTCAGTTCATGTTTTCATAACCGAGCATTAAAAGTTTATCAGGTTTAGGGATTTACCAGGGTATGGGCCTGTGCCAGCTGCCGTTGTCCAATCAGTGTTGAGATGAACATGTTCACTAGTTAAACTGACTGGTCCAGTTGGACGGTTAAGTCCTCTTCTTACTGCAATTTTTACTTCTGTTTTGGCAATGATGACACATTGTTAGTCATCTGGATTTTTTTCAACTGTATGGTTATCAGATCGACAAATGCTGAAAACAATGACATCATAGATGTAATAATACCTGTTTTTTTAGTCTCCATCTTTGTGTCGTTGGCTTTGAGCTGAGGACCAATCAGTAAAATGGCCTTCTCCATAGTGTTAAGCAGCCCACTCACACCGTCTTCGCTTTCCACATCTCCAGAGGACAGAACTGAGTCAGTCGCAGTCAGAAGTTTCTAACAGAGATGGAGAGAGGAGAGGGTTTTTTTTTAAAACTTCTCTCTTTTTGTTATTTTTAGTGGCTGGGATGGGTAACATTAAAAAGTACCCAAAAAATGTACAATTTGAAAACACAGTATCATATGCATATACTGTAAATGGCAACTGGTGGAATGAAATTATATAATTTATATACCTGTATACAGTAAGTGAATGATATGATTATCCAAGGATGAAACCCAATGACAATGGAAGAATCATAGACTAAACCTCAAGATTTTTAACATCTTCTGTCCTCACATACTGTAATCTCATTAAACATGTAATTAACCTAAAGGTGAAATTAACTGATGTATAATAAATATGTAATATCATTTACCTAAAAAGTGAGAGAACCTTGTGATACATCTTTGAGTTGGTTAACATAGAACAATGAGCATCTCCAGTCTAAAAAATATTGACTCTGTCATTGAGGTCATTTTGTTATCATAAAAAGCTACTTTTATAAAACCTAATCTGACAATTCCAATAAAAAGAGATTATTCTTTCCACCTCTAAACAGAGTGCTGTGGGACAAATGAATGCACTGCATGCAAAAGGTAATAGAAGTGCTTCATCATCATTAGGAGAAAATTCACAGCTGTCTAATGAGTATTTAAAGGTACAGTGGTGGATGTTTTTTTTCTGGGTGGATCCTCAAAATAAGTGGTCCTCCTAATTGTCAATCATTGTGGTGATTTTTATGTAAGGCCATCCTATGTGCTCGTCCCCGTTTTCACTTACCAGTGGTGAGTCTGACATAGTGAATTGCATATCATTCAAAAATTAGCTTGTAACTTTTAAACACAGCTTGCAAGAGGAGAAATGGGCTCGTTCATGCTCTTTCAAGCATTTAATAGGCATTCCCTCTCAGGAGCGGGTACCGGGATAGTGTATGTGTGATTGTTTTTTTAAAGTTGAGAGGGTGGGTCTTTTAAAAAAAAAAATCACAAAAATCCCCCAATATACCTTCAATATTAAAAGAAACAGTAAAAGGTACAGGTTTATAGATTCACTGATGCCAAATAAAAGCTTTTTGTTTCAGTTTTCAAACTCTTCAGTAATACTTATTTTAATGTACATTTGGTTTCCATTTTGTATTTGTTTTTAGGCTTATTGTAATCTGATGACCATTTCCTTCACCACTTCAATGTTAAGGATTTTTTTTTGTTGTTTTTTTTTTTTTTTTTACAGTTTTTCTTGTACAAGAAAATACATGCTTCATCAAAAACCTGAGGTGGAGCTGTGTCAATAGATAAATTGCATGTGGTTTCAAAATGTATTAGAGTTTGTGTCTTATATATTTTCCTAACCTCAAGAAGCGCATCTCCATCAGCCTTCCCAAAGCTCATGTTGGACAAATCCAAACAGCTGTTTCTCATCATGGCCACTATGTCTGCCAGACCTCCAAGTGACTATGAAACAGAGACAAAGAGAATAAAGAAACCATTCAACTCCCCATTGAATGTTATTTATACACACAACGGATTTTAAGGCAGTAGGTTCTTGAACACAGAAAAATTAACTGTGGGGTTCTTGCAGGGAATTGGACATCAAAATGTCAGACTACTTTTCTGTTACGTCATAGATCATTAAATGATCAGCATTATGGAGGCTGCAGCATGAATCAGCTGTGCTTATACTGTTTTTGTCCAAACATACCTTCACAAGATTGCTGTCGGCACTAAAGCGGTCACATTTGAGCTCTACAAGAAAAGAAAAAAAGAAGTTAAATATTTACATAACCACCACAGCAGTTTGTATACTTGGATGAAACCTTCTCTGAAAGCAGATAAGTGTGACAAAAAAGTAAAACGGCATGTTAGGACAACCCATCATCAAATGAATTACTGAAGGAAATAACTGGATGCTTTCAATGAGCATTTAGAGAAAAACCAAAGCTGAAGTGATAAAATAACACCACAGGATATAAATAATAACAACATTAGACTTTACTTTTACTCTAGAACATAATCTATTAGATGTAAATAATTACAAGAAATTAAAGACTTATCTATGTTTGGTAAACCAATGCTCACTCCCCTGAGCATTGTGTTCTTTCTTGGCCGTAGGAGGTGAATCCTGCATTACAGAGGCATTGATAACTCCCATTGAGGTTTTTACAGCTGCCATTCTCTCCACAGATATTGGCATTTATCTTGCATTCATCTATGTCTGTAGAAAATAATCAAATAGAACCTTTTAGTAAGTATAATGTGCAATCGAATAATTGTCTTTACAATGCATTAAACTGGTTACTATTTCACTGGGAGCCCATCAAAAACTCTTACACAACTTAGTGAAATACTTTATAACAGGATGATATCAAATAGCTTGCTTTCTTATTGCTGCAATTGCTTTTTGTTTCCTTTAATCTTATTAAGTCACTGATGTCACCATATATCGTTCAGCTGCATACTGTATATAGGCAGTCAGGGCAAAAATTTGAACAAATCTATTTTTCCTTGTACTGATCAACAGTTTTCTCAAAAAGTAGCACACCTTTTAAAATGACTTTTCTTATTTCACATTTCTTTTTCATCAAACCAGATATGGCTCTTTGACCTAATAAGGGTTTGGATTTTCCTGCATAACATGCTTTAGGATATTGCAAAGTGGAGACAAAGGGCTCTCAAAGAAATGCCAGGTCAATATTGTAATGCAATACCAAAAGTTGTTGCCATCATAAAAAAAATAATCATTGGTATTAAATAATTACTATAACCAAAAAAAAAATAGAAATCAAATAAGTTCCACTTCCAAGAAACTATAATTATTGATTAAATGCACTTAGTGCCCTCGAGGGTTTCGTGCTTCAGCCTTACTCTGCCGGGTCTTATGTGGTAATAGCTTTTAGAAGTATTTTGTTATTACCTCAACCAAGGAGTTTATGTTTTTAGTCGAGTTTGTGTGTTTTTTTGTTTTTTTTCTCTATGTCTGTCTGTGTAGAGGAGAACTTGAAAAGTTTTGAATGTATTTTTATGAAATTTTTACCAAAGGTGCACCTCAGTCCAAAAGGCAATCCATTAAATGTTGGTAATGATCCACATCATAATCCAGATGCAGGAACTTTTTATAAGATTCTTTTAATATTATTTGGCAGAACAAGCAGTTCCACCCTAAACCAGAGGGTGGCAGCAGTGACTATTGACAGCTTCAACATTGGACTCAAAAAGTCCAGAAAGTCCAGATAGGTGCTGAGTTCAAATTCAGTGGCTGTGTCCTCTGAAGGGCAGATAAGTCATCTGATTACGACATAGCGTGGAGCTAGGTCTATTCAGATTGGAAGACTCCTTCGTATGCAACCGACAAATACATGCTTCTTTTTGCACGTTTTGAAGGATGGGTCCGGTATATCCTACGTAGCTTTGGGTATCTCATGATTCATTACGAATACAAGCAAGCCGGCTGCTCTGTGCTCAGATGTAAAAGGGAAATGGCACCAAACAGTGGTGAATATTGTAAGTGTAGTTTAATATAATACAAGTATGTGAATAGATCCATCTAAAATTAATGATAATAGTTGTTTGAAATGGTAATAGGGTCAGATACGTAGCAGGTAATGTTTATTTATTGAAAGGTTTTATTCTGTCCCTGTGCAAATGGGTTTGGCTGTCATTAAAGGACTGAGTCCAATATCTCTGCAGTGTGGGGACTATAAATATGATATTCGTAATGACGGTACTGCTGCTGAAGCTCCTTGAAAATGTTATTAGCACCCAGGACAGAAGCAAGAAGTTGCTTTGTGTGTCAGCTGTAACGGTTGCTAGGCGACACAGCATACATGCGGTGAAAGCCGGAGAAGGCTTGACCTGTTTGAATCCATAGCCAAACTCTTCCAGTCACCATATTTTTATGGACCTTGAAGGACCCAGTCCACATGGACCGTGTCATTGAAATCGAACTCACCCTGAGACTAAAGAGTGAGAGCAGAATAAACACCAGAGTCTGCAGAGTCATGCTGTGCGTTATTTATAAACTCATGGAAGGATTTTAAGCAAATTGTTACCAAAGGAGCACCTCATGTGAACAATTCAGTAAAATGTTCGGAATTATCCAGATCATGTGCAAGTTTTAGCTATAGTTGTAAGTCCCAATATGGGACAAAATGTGCTTCTAGGCAGACGTCTGTCCTCCAAGTTTCTATTATAGTTGCTTAATGTTTTAGCATTAATCAAATGGATCTCTGTTGAATAAACAGAGATCCACTGCTCAGACGTGGCGTCTGAGCACATCCTAAACTCAAAGTGTTTGTGTATGTCATGCATATTCACTCTATGCACTGGCTGGAAAATTATTTATAATTTATTAATGAATTGACAGTAGTAGGGAAGGAATGAGCAAACCTGAAGTACGACCTGCCTGCTGATAGTTGTTATATTTTAGCTGCCTCTATTTAGCCTTCTAAAATTTGTTTAAAATGTAAGTATGGTTTTTGTAAGGAAAGAAGGAGCAAAGGCATCAATAACAATAAAACAAAGGAACAAATAAACAGGGGAATAGAAGGAAAGATAGAAAAGGGGAGATTTAAGAAAGGAAAGAAGGGAAGACAGATGGAGGAAAGAAAGGACACAGAGGTAAGTAAAGAGGAGGCAAAAACATTTTAAAAATAGCAAAAGAAATAGAGTCTGGAATGACAAATAATAATAAAACTCTGAAATCAATACTGCCTTAAAACTCTCTGAACCATTACTGAAACAAATAAAATATGAAGAAAGAATTGCCACTCACCTTTACATTCTCCTTGGCTTTTGTTGCTGTACCCAGAGTTACAGGAACATTCATAGCTACCAAGCAGATTCAAGCATTTACCATAAGGAGTACATTTTGGAGGGCTGTCTGTGCATTCATTAATATCTGATAAAAGAGAAAATACAGACACCATTAATAGCTGGTTCAAAGAGAAATGCTTACATATTTCGTTTGTGGCTTACCAAGACACTGTCCCTCTGAAGCAGAGAAGTTTAGTTTCCTCTTTGAGTTTACAAACCCGGGAAGACAGTTGCAGTGGTAGCTGCCGTTGGTGTTTAAGCACCTTGAGTTATTCCCACACAATCCTGGATAGTCTTTACACTCATCTATATCTGTAATTTGGAAAAGTACAGTTTGAAATGTAGCAAGCAGGCAGCATATCAAGATAAAGAAACACTTAAACTGCTTTACAAACCTGGAAGCCATGTTGTGTATTTCTGGTCCCTTATTAAAGATTTTAACAACAGCATAATTCCTCATCTAAACGCTGTGTTCAATTTAATATTTTATAAGCAGAGGTGGGAAGTAGCAAAAAATGTGCACAAGTAGAGGCAACACCACTTCAACATGGAGCAAAGTTAAAAGAGTAAAGTTAAAAAGTACCCGTCCGATAAACTACTCAAGTAAGGGTAAAATAAGTAAATTAATATAAATGATAAGTACATTGAAAAAAATCATTCAGGGAGAAGAAACTATTTAAAAATTCAAATGTTTGTCATGACACCATGCTTTTAGATATATAATGTATGACAGAACAGGGTAAGCTACTTCCAGTCATAAAATATACAATTTTTCTGTATATTATTAATACTAATAATTGAACTAATCTCACACTGGAGAAATTCAACTCTGCATTTAACCCATCCCCTTGGGGAGCAGTGGGCTGACATTGTGTGGCACCCTGGGAGCAGTCTGGGGTTAAGTGTCTTGCTCAGGCAGAGTGGCAGTCTGTGGGAGTGGGTCTTGAAATCAAAACCTATTGATTCCAAGTGCAAAGCCCTAACCACTAGACCACCCCTCTCCCTATTACCTTGACATCTATGTCATAGAAATCCCAGTTTATGAAAGTATTGTGTGTGTTTTTTGTTTGTTTGTTTTTTAGTTACAAGTGAATGTAACTATGTGAATGTAACCAGTTACTACCCGACTCAGTTTAAAATTCCTAGAAAAAATAAACATTTTATTTAATCCACTCCCTGATAAAACCATTTCTGAATGAGACTACCTCTCTTGATAACAAATAAGGCTATAGGGAGAAAGGTTTGTGAAAAATGTACCTTCACAATTGTTGCCAATCATTTGGAAGCCATTCTGACACCCAAACACAGATGTCTGCAGAGCATACACAAACCCTGTGGAGCAAAACAACAAAATATTACATTAAAAGTATGCTTCACAAATATATTACCAAAGCAAGTTAAGACATTTTACTTTACTTATACATATACATAAAGCATTAGTCCTTTCAAGGGTTTTATTGGATAGGAAACCAAAAACCTTCGGCTGAAACACAACAAGCATTATAATTAATTGTTAATAAATCCTCCAGTATAGTTTTCATACCAACTTCCAATTTCCTGCACCTATGTTACAGTAAGAATCAGTGCAAGTTGTCACCTTCCAAGGGGTTTCAAAGGAAGACTGGGCATTTAAGCAGTTCCACTGAAATTATATGTATATATATTATGTAAGGAATTATAGTTCAACTAATGTATTTGGTGGGCTTCTTAGTAATGCAGTGGGTAGCACTGCTGCCTTGCAGCAAGATAGTTCCAGGGTTGATTCCCGGCCCGGGTGAGCATGCGTGGGTTCTCACTGGGTACTCAAGCTTTCTCCCCAGTCCAAAAACATGACTGTTAGGTTAATTGGCTTCTCTAAATTCTCCTTCGGTGTGAGTGTTAATGGTTGGTTTTCCTGTTTGTATCTGTATTGCCCTGCAATGGATTGGCGACCTGTCCAGGGTGGACCCCGGCTCTCGCCCATAGAAAGCTGGGGATAGGCACCAGCACCCCTCGCGACCCCGCTATGGATAAGTGTGAAAATGGATGGATGGATGGATGGATGGATAATGTTTTTGCCATTTAAGATTTAAAAAAAAAAAAGTTATCATCTGTCAATATATTAAGTTAGTAAAAAATCTTCTTTAAGGAACCTTTTATTATCTGATTAGTAATCGATTAATCAAAAAAATTATCAAAATATTAATTGATTTGCAAAATAATCATTAATTGCAGCCCTAATAGCAATATATAGATAGATATATACATATCTATCTTTACATATACATACATCTATCTTTATATATCCGTTTTTAACAGTATTTGTCCAAATAACCAAGGAAACAAGGTTTAGTGAGACAAATCTGGAATCCATGATTGTGAAATACGGGTTTTGATAGTTAGAAATAGAAGCATTCCTAAATAATTCCTGTAATACAGTATAAGTAAGAGCTTATGGCAGGAGTTACAATTTGATCCTTTTCCAAAAAAACAAGGTTAAGATTTTTTATCAGCCAGGGTATAGATGAACTGCATACATCTATTTGACTAATGTGATAGGAATGAAATTGTTCATGGATGAATGTGAATCACCCAACTAGTCAGTCAGCTCCATCTACAATGCATGGGTTGCAAAGAAACATCAGCACAGTAAGAACTGTAGCTGGTACTAGCAATCTTTATTTTCTCAGCTTCCTCGCCTTAACGTTGGGTTTAGCTCTGTGCAGAGTTCAAAGATAATCCCTCTTAGCATTCTAAGCGGGCTCTCTGAAAACACTCCCTCTGACTCCTAACAGTGACGTCCTCCAGCAATGCTAACGTTTCTATGGTTCCACAATTATGTGCAGCTTTACACAACAGTTTTCTGGATATGTGTGACTGTCTATACCTGGTCAATCTTAGGAATGATCACACCTAAAATCTTTTAAATCTGTTTCACTGTAATTTTGTTCTCACAGAGAATGACAGTGCCTCTAAATTAATTACATGCATTATTTACAATTACACATAAAACATAAGGGGGAAATGTAAAGGGGACATCCAACTGAGGTTATTTCAACCATTATTTGTTTCAAGTTATAGCATCTAATTAGGATGAACGTTTAGTTTTCAAGAAAAATATCTGGTTATCTGCTTCTCGGATTAGAAAAGAATTGCCCAGATTTTTTTTTACTCATTGATATACTATTACACAGAGCTTTTAAAATAGGGTGATACCTTCTAACAACCGTTAAAAAGCTGTAGATTCCAGTCCAGGTTTTCTTCACATGGAGTTTTGGATTAAAAGAAAAAAAAATTCATCCACTTTTAATTATTTTTTTTTTTTCTTAAATGTTGCTTTTGAACCTTTGAACAAAAAGAGGTTTCACATTGATTCCTAGATGTATTGAATTAAATGTTGAAAAACTCTGATAGATAAGTGGAAGTTTCCTAATAATGCAGTAATTTCTAAAGGTCAAACAGTGTGACAAAGTTATTTTTTTAGTGAATCTGCGAGATAAAAAATAAAATAAATTGTATCTTCAGTTAGTCACATCTTTTTCTTTATTAATAACTTCATACTGTAAAGGCTGAGTCACACAAAGAAATGCAATACGCGAGTCTAAACAGCATGTCATGATGTTCCCATCAATAGTAACAACAGATGCACTGCTACGTTCATAAATTCTTAGAGGATTAAATATTTATGAATGGGAAAAAATATTCTGCAATCATTGGTCTACATTGAACAAGGTTCATATAAAAGAGTTTTAATCCAGTAGATCTGAGACAAACTGCAGGCATGAAAAATTGTCTAACTAAACATATTGCATTGAAAATTTTATAAACATGTGTTCTGGGAAGGAGAAGCTGATGAAAGCATTGAAACTTGGGTCAATAAAAAAGCAAGAAACAGGGTGAGAGGGCATGAGAAAAAACTCTCAGGGGAAAAATACAGCAAACAAACATATAGAACACTCGTGTAGCATCTATAAATTTATTTTTGGCTTGCAATACCATGAAAGACTTGACTTAGTTTAGGGGTGAGTCTATGATTTAACAATTGAGCAATATGTTAAATATATCTACTATATTAAGTAAAAAAAATACTAAAAATAAGGATAATTTGTTGGTTATATTTAATTGTGTCCTACAATTCTTTCTTTCAGTTTAAACTAAGCCTATATGCTTTCTATGGCGCAATTTATACTGGCAAAAAGCTTTTGGAAATCTGAGAACAAGAAAAGTAGCCTCTTCATTTCAATGTTTCCAAAATCCAAAGATATACCACAAATTTTGTAAAAAAATAAAATAAAATAAATAAATAAAAAAGAACTTTTGCAGGAAACTATCCAAAACTATATGTGAAAATCCTATTGCCTAGCTTGTTATATCATAAATTCTGACCGCCTAATTTTCTAATTTTTTGGAAAAAACATTTCGATGTCCCGAGACAGACGTTAGCCTGATTACTTCCAGACCTGCCATACCAATAAATCAGTTAAACAGAGCCTGTCAGACAACATGAAGTAGAAATGTACCGTGTTAAAAGGAAACTCAGGAAAGGCCGTTCACATTTTTCATTCTGGAAAGGCCGTTTCACGCCTTGGTCTCCAATGAAGGTCAGTAACCGATATAATCTACAAATAGAGACAATATGGGATGAGGGTGAACTGCCCCCGAAGTGGAAAAACTACTCAAAGAACATCAGTGAGTCAACCCAGGAAGTCACAACAAGAACAACATCTCTAAAGGCTTCACTTGCCTCCGTTCAGTTTAGCTTTCATGATTCAACAAAGAAACATCTTGAAACTACTTTCCAGAGTAAAAAAAACTCTGGTGACCAAAAATAACCAAATGCTGATCTATTTTTTTCCGTGACTCATGCCAACATACTGTAAACAATCTACCATATCCCATGTGTGTTTTGGAGCAAAGAAGAACTACAGCAGATATTTAGGCAGGTATTTTAATTATCCAAGAGGGAAATGCATAATATTCAAAGATCAGCAGAGGTTTTTCTTGCTATTTCGTTTCATCCTTTCTATCTTAATCAAAGGATAAGACTAAAGGTTTACAGAGGCATATATGTAGGGTTGTGCCTACTGTAACAAAAATCATTAACACACCTCTTAGTAAAAAGTGGAATCTGAACTTAAAGCCAAGAGAAGCTTCAGCTTTAGATGTAAAAGCTACTGCTTAGTTAATGCATCCTCACACAATCCATTAGCCATTATCATGTCTACAAGAAAGGCTCTACAATACAAAATCTGACCTTATATCCCCCAAAACGGGAAAGAATGCTGTTATTGTTGATGCTGGTGAGAAAAATCTCTCCAAATATCATCTCCTGTTAGTAAAGTCATTTTCCTCACTCTTAAAGTGATCAAAGGGAGATTATCTGGGTAAAAATGTTTTCAAAAACATTTTTTTTTTATTCAGTTTTGTATGAGCTGATCAAATTTTTAAATGTGTGTTCTGATTCTAATTTTAATATTAGTTTATCATTATAAAGGATTTGGTGGAAAACAAAATAGGAGAAAGAGTTTTGCACGGTCCTTCACTCTTTGAGGTTGTGCCATGTTGATTTGGATAACTATCCTACCTATGCATTTATAGAATTATCCTTTGAAACTGCAGCATATAATTGTTCAGGTTATTATTTTCTGATACTAAAATATGTTTGCTGATCTAAAATACTGAACAGTTGCATAAAAAACTATAGCAAATCTGTCTCCCAGCAGGGTAAGACATAAACCTGTAGACATTTCAGAATGTGATAAATGTCACCATTTTATTCTGCCTTTGAAACCTACAAATAGTAAAAAAAATTCACTAAAAATAAGCTTCACTCCCAGCTTAAAGAGAAAGGAATTTTGTTAAATCAGGAAGATTAGAATGGCCTTGGAGTGCATGATAACCTTTTTGTTCTGGGCTAACTATCAACTCTAAAGCAAAGGAAAGCCATGCCTTATGTACAAACTGCTTCTGAGTTAATGAAAACACACACTCTTGTGAAATCATTCTACGAAAGATTAGACTTGGGTTTTTTTCTAGCTGTATATGATTTATCTAAAACATCAGACTTCCACTGTGGAACAGACTGGGAAATGTGTTAAGGCATGACTTTTGACAAGTGAGTCGGCAATGGGAATGAAAAATAATAGGACTATCTGCCATGCCCCATTTTCATCAGCTGTTAATCAATAACCACCATAATCATTGAAGATTTACGAACTCGTGAGTACAATAAAAGGTGACTTTGTTTCCCTATTCTTTCATCAACCTCAGCCGTAACACACCAACATGAGCAGCCCTTTAAAACGGACTAACGCCAGTCACATTTCCATGACTAAGGAGCGAATGAAACTGCTAAAAACAGAGCTCTATTCAACATTCCAAGAGTCTTTCACTGTGATTCCCTCCTTTCACCACAATGAGCCCTCTGTTGCGGTGTGACAGTGCTGGGGTCCCATAATCTTAAACCCTGAGGCTGACCAGACAGGGTTTGACTGAGCCAGGGAAATGAGAGTGAGAAAAACTGTGTCTGAGTATGATTATATGCTGCTAAATGTCTGTTGATGGAAACAGGGACAGAATGTATTTAGAGCTCTTGGCCTACTTAGTTACTTCTTATTTTTTTGTGGTTACGTTCCCAGTATGTCATAACATATTGCATGAATAAAAACTGTCAGGAAACCCTGAAATACATATTTAAATGACCTTAAAAGAGGCATAATTCTGGTGTTTTTGGACAAAATGAAAACATTGCATCAGGCTCCATCCACTGGGTTTAACCTATCACACTGTCTATTGTGCTGTATTTGCTCGTACAAGTTTGTAGCGTAACTTCATCTCAACTTTGAATAGATACAAATTATAAACATCATCTATATATATGTAGTTTCAGCATGTGTACAAATATTTCAAAGAAAAGCGCTTGGTTGACCTGTGGCTCACATAACTTTGTGTATAATTTACTGCCTACCTTTGACATGTTTATAGTTTTTTTCAGCAAATGTTTTTAAATATGCTGTCAGCTTGTATTTCCCTGACAATCTCTCAAATACTTCAACTCAGGCAGAGGATGAGAAAGGCAAGTGTCTCGCATCCGTTTTAACAGGTCATTTAAAGGGCTCTATTCTGCAAAACATTCAATGTGGTTCCTAGTCACTACTCATAACTGGAATTATGCTTTATTTTTACTCACATGCAAAAAAAAAAATATGGAGAGAAATCTGATTTTTAACCTTTTATAAATGTCTTGACCAGGTTAAGTCTAAAATTTTTAAAAGCCTGTGTCAGTAATGTTCTAGTACAGGAAACTCAAGCAGAAGTAGTGGTTAAGCTGGTTCTTATTGACATTTTGTGCACGGATGGCATTACGCAACACATGCAATGAAGTATTCCATTGTCTTAAACATTTGAATGTGTTTTTTTACACTTTATAGTACATTTCAGAAAGTAGTGAAAATTTGCATCCAGGCTACAGACAGCACAATAAAATGACTCACTGTTTGATAAGGTGAAGGGGGAGGAACTGCAAACTTTGGTTATAAACACAGCTAAGGCCATTCCTCTGCCTTGCACTTTCAACTTTGTCTCATTTTTCTTGGTATCCAAGTTAAGCACTGACTAAGCCTCTCCCCCGTTAACTCATAGTGCAAAAACACAGGCAATTGTCCCATTTAAAGCTGGGATTCAAGACATGTCTAATGTTTAACAACTATTTAAAGACAAAGCAGGTTTTCTTAAAGCTGCTAACTTGTGAGATGACCATACTGAAAGAAAGGCTGACAATTCTACAGAAATAGGCTGGTCCTGCGTTAATCTTCTTTGTCATCATGATAAATCATGTGTTGCCTGGTGGTAATTGAACACAAAGCCAGCTTTGACCCTACAACCATGGGTGTTATGTCTGTTTCAATTTCTGCAGACAGATCTTATCAGTACACTAACATCTCATCTGCACACCATTGAGAAATTAACCACTTTAACATGCAAAGACCTGAATTAAAATGAAGGCCAACTATCATGATGTCGGGTTACTCATGTTCTGTTATTGAAACAGCTGCTCAGTACTCAATATTATGAGATATGAAACAGCTTTTGTCAGACATAGAAAGAGGTCGCAAATTAATTAATTACATAGAAGCTCTAAAAAAAGTTGCTTGCGTGAAATAAGTCTGAGCAACAAGCACTCTGGTAAGATCAAAGTGCTTGTTGCTCAGACTCAGATGTGCAATAACTGCTTCTTTTCCACATGCCCTACCCTTTATCTTTTACAGCATTGATTATCTATATAAATCAGCCCAGAGGACTAAAATGTCCAATCTATAAGGTTCAGCTTAAATCCGGCCACAAAGAGTCTTGTTCTTTCTAGTTAACATCAACAAACTGCAATCCTGGTAGTTTTTTAAATGTGCATGACAAGATGTTTTCTCCTTAAGACAGAAAAGAATTAAAAGAAAACATTTGCAAAGGTTTCCTTACTCAACAAAACTTTTTTTTTTCTTTATTGAAACCATATATAATACTCCTGTTACTGTCATTCCTCAAACTAATTTTTTACCACATTTTGGCGTGTGGTTTTAGGAGCCCCATGCGCAATGTTGACATATTTTTTTTATCTTCTGAGAATTTCCAAGCTGTCAGCGAAAAGACACAAACCAGAATAAAAATGTATGTTGGAGTTCTGTCACAAGCGAAATAAAAAGGTTTCTGGTGTGTGTGTGTTTTTTTTTTAAACTATCTAAATCAAATTGACACATTGTAACAGCTCGCTGTAAAACTACTTTACATATTTCACAGCCTCATGCTGTCGTTAACCAGGGGACTTTCTAATAAAATATTTTTAGTTAGTAGTGAAAACTAAATAGGACTGTGACTTAAAAAATAAATTAAAATATGAATGCATCACAGCACATACAGTCACTGTCCTCTCTGTACAAATGTCTGAGGTACCGTAAATGAAGCAGTAAAGTGCAGATCATTACCTTCTTCATTTTCCTCTGCAGGTTTGTATTTAACAATTCATCCCGACCATGAAGCAGTTTTACTCACCTTTAAGATATTTTGTACATCCCATAATAAGTGAGGAGTTGAATGCTTGAAAGTTTCTTTGTTGTAATCTGATCATCTAATGCAAGAAAATGTGACTGAATATTTTCAGTTAATGATACCTGACAGAAAGGAGGTTACTTAGTTATTTTGGTTAGCTCAGGGGTCCTAATCTGTCTAATTTCATGAAAGTAAACTATTCCCAGGGTGAATCTGAAATGCAAGGAGTCCAAACAGACTAATAAAATAAATCCCTAATTATTATTGTATTGAATTAAGTTATGTATGAAATTCTGCATTTAGTATCTCTGCATTAAAGGTAACCTGATAGTTCAATGTGATATATGAACTGGTTGGTTTACATAGACAGGATTAAAATAGAAAGGGAGAGATTGGCTCTGTGGGTGCACAAATCAGCCACGGCAGTCAGATAGCAATTACTTAATCACCTTGATGTTTAACAGACGGCATTCTGAAAGTCAAAATGTTTCAGAAAGGAAAAGACAGGGGATTTCATTTACTTAAAATATAACATAGTTACTGATGCCAGGCAGTCTAGCCTATTTTTAGAAACTGCTGGCCACTCCAATTTTTACTCACAACCACCTCTCTGGTCTACAGAAGAAAAACTACAGTGCGCACCAAAATACAAGACATCAGGAAATAGTAAACAGACTGGGTTAAGAAGATAGAGTAAACAATAGTTTAAATAATTATCCATTTCTTATAATAAAGGTAGTGTATCTTCTCCAAACTGACAACCATGTAACCTAGAATTGGGCAGGGCTCCTCCTCAAATTAAGAAAAAGAATCTGAGGTCATGATTTATACAGGTTCACCATAGCATGACACTAAGAAATTAAAAAATATTACCAATTCCAATGATTTTAGCTACTGAATTCAAGTGGTAAGCTCAGAAATGAACGTTAAAGACATCTCAAAGGCTCAAAGGTGGAGGTAAAACAGAGTGGAGACATTTTCTTGACGCACTTTGAGTCTGTTAGAACCAATTTTTAAACACTACTACCCATCTAATTATCAAAACACAACCCTTTATGATCACAGTACCACTTTATATGATAGATGAACAAGCCCAGATCTCCTCAATCTGATTTCTGACGATGACAATGAGATCACTGTGGTCCAATGACCTCCAAAGTCAAAACTTCTCACTTCTGTAAATTCAGGATGTGGTGGAACAGCAGATTAACATCAAATATAGGAAGACAACAAAAACTGGCCAAACGGGACGCTGCCATGTTCATTTTCACCAAAATCTCTGGGGATTATATGGAAAACACATTACTAATGCAGCCCTGAATGTAAAATTGGGTCCAGTTGTATAGTATACAAACATAATTTTATGTCTATATGACATTTAATATAAATCTGTATACCCAAAAAGAGAGAGGCATAAAAGCCCGAGCTGGTTTTCACCAGTGGTCAAAGGTGCTGCTATTGTGGGTTATTCAGATAAGTCATGGAGATTCATATAACTCCACCAGCTTGAAACCTCAATCACAGCCACAGCTCATTTAGTACCTCAATTACCCTAACTCAGACCACCTGATAGGCAGACCTGACTGGAGGGAGCACTTTGATAACAGAGATTTCAGCAGAACGCCACCCTCAGATCACAACCCCAAACCTCAGCTAAAATGACAGCATGAGAGGTTTTCCCCCCCAGCTGGACACGTTGAACAGCTCAGGTTGTATTAATGTCAAGTTCTAAAAAAAAAACACCAAAAAAAAAACAACACAATTTTAAAAAATAACTTTTTAGATCCACAACTTTTCATTTTAAAAAAATTCATGCTTTCTATTTTTCTTTATATGTATTTTTATTTTCAGAAAATTGATTTGCAAAGACATGAAGAAGTTAATGATTAAAGGATTACAACACTTATAAACATCCCTTAACTTTTGGTTTCTTCATGCCCACAGATCAACACAAAAGCTGAGTTCTCTTTGACAGACTCACCCAGAATCAGCAGTTTCCTCTCAAACCCCATATCAGAGGCCAAGGACGACCCTCACAGACGATATATACACTTTATCAATGGAATTCAATTTAAACACAAAGGTGGGTTCCTCTCACAGAAGCTTTGCTGTGGATTTGTAGTCCAAGGTCCATAGAGATCCACAAGGGAAGAAAATTAATGAGCCTTAAGAAGTTTTTTCTTTTCATAAAAATAAAAAAGATCCTTCACCAGAGCTCTTTTTTTAATGATTCAGACTTTCAGACCAGACCAGACTTCACTCCCTCTCATTCCCCGCCCCTTCTCTCTCTCTCTCCCCACCCCTCTCTCTCTCTCTCTCTCTCTTCTCTCTGTTCTTTCTTTCTTTTCCTCTCTTTCCTAATGAGGGCCTGTGTCTCTCAACGTTGCTCTGTCTCGATCACTTCTTTTAGTCCAAATCCCCTCTTTGTGAACAGGTTTCTCACACTGCTAGTGTATCATGTTGCACCACTACCACCCCCCTCATTCTGTCTACCCATGCTGCCACATTTCCCCTGCTGCTCCAGTAGCCTCAATTCCGGGAGCTATTCGCAGCATACAGAAAAGGGGGGTTGGGGGCAGAAACTGAAAAAGATGGTGATGTCTAATGCTTAATCTAAACAGCTGTTGCAATGAGAGTTTGAGATTTGCCAGTAAGGAGTCTTATATCCGCTCATATTCTTCTTTCACTTCTACCCTGCATCTCCTCCCCCTTTTTGTTCTTTCACTCAGTAGCATTCAGCCCTTCACCCATTTTCCGAGAAAAAAAGGCCTGTGTTTTCTCAGCCTTCCCCCGGGTTGAAAGAAAAAAGGGTTTCAGACGGATGTAGGGGTTAACCTCTACAAGGCTTCTCTGGTGTAGTTTAGAGAAGGGCAGCTGGTTAGCTGAGAGGATATGAAACAATCTGCCCACAAAGTTTAGATGCTCAGTGAAAGTTCACCCAAATTAAAAAAGTGTTTCCAAACATTTCAACAGTTTTTACTTTTTCTTTTGGAAGATTCAGGCATGTCAAAGCAGGGTTTGGGCTTAGGGAGATATCCCCAAAGAACTATTTGTACAAAGACTTTAAAATAAATGTTTAATGGAGTCACAGTGAGCCCACAATTGCCCTCTTTGCAGCAAAAGTCTTACAGTGATCTTAGTGGATTGTTTCATTAATTTTCCCCTAACCATCATCTGCTGTGTGCATGGCTGTCAGAGGAATTTGGGTCTTTATTTCCTCTGCTCATGGTTCTGTTTTTAATTATTGCGCAGACAGTTTTCTGTGTGAGTATCTAATTTCTTCTTGACATTTCCTGACTAATTTCTTATTAGTGGCAAGAGTTCTTTACCCATTTTGAAGAGAAGCTGAGGAAAATGTACTTTGAGAGCAAAGGTGCACATCTCCAGTCCTCGCGGGCCGATGTCATGCAACATTTGGATGTGGCTCTGCATCGGTTCACTTACATCACATAATTCAGGTTAAAGCAGGACTCTCTGCAACTTGACTACATGCATGGGGGGATACGGTCATTTAATTCAGGGATTTTCAACATAATCTCTAGCCCTGGAGGGCAGGAGTTTGACACCCCCACTCTGAATACTGTCATCCCACATGGAAACAGGACTGTCAATAGATTTTAAATAATACATATGTATTCCTAAGTTTCATGAAGCTGTAGATCATCTTATAGAAGTTACACAAGTTTGTATAGATGGTGATGGTATAGGAGGGACTTCCTATAGTGATTAGTATTATGAGATCTTTCACTAATGTATTGGATATCAGATAGAGCTTGGCCATTTAAGGCTTTATATGTAGAAGGAGGATTTTAATTTCTATTCTGGATTTAACAGGAAGCCAATGAAGAGAAACTAGGATAGCAGAGATATGATTTCTCTTTTTAATTTTCATCAGAACTCTGGCTGCAGAATTCTGGATTAGCTGAGAGCTTTTAACTACAGTTTGTGGTCTTCCTGATAGTAAAGAAATACAATAGTCCAGCCTTGAAGTTACATGTTCAGTTTGATCTAAGTAGTCAAAAAAAGGTTCTGATTCCATAATTACCTCAGATTTGACCTCACCTTTCAGAGATCAACCAATCATATTTAGAGGGGTGCCAATGCTTATCTTTTTATTAGAAGCAATTCGATTTGTAAAGACTCTCGGACTCTTACTGCATTCCACGTCTTATTTAAACCAGTCCGGCAGAAGACCACCATGTTCAGCCTAGTTCTGCCAGAGGTTTCTTCCCAATGGGAAGTTTTTCCTCTCCACTGTCGTTTCATACTTGCTCATCATGGACAGGGTTTCTCAACCTGTGTTATCCAAACTGGACTTCCATCTTCCAGGTCCCTGAGTGAAGCTCTAGTATCAGTTCACGCAATCCACTGGATCTCCCCATAAAGATCAGCATACCGTCTTTCTAACCAGCAGTCTACAGACTGACCAACTTCATTATCTAGACTCCACCACCAGTTTCAGACCTGGGGGGGAAAAAGCCCTATTCTTTACTCCTGTTCATGGATATCTTCTCTTCGTGTGAGTTTTTCAGATTGAAATATCTATTCTATCGATAGAATATCAAGCTTTTAGAATTTTTCCTTGGAGAAAAAGTTGCTTGGTTAACTCATTCATGATCAGTTTGTCTGTTTTATTTTCCTCTGAGTTAGGAGGGACTTTGTTTTCATTTCAGAGTCTAACCACCAGCTGTAGGCCAGAATTTAATCCCACATCTACCCCTCTCTCATCTAAAACACATGCAGTGAAAGCAAAAACCTGTGCTGTAAAATTCATTGAGTTCAGCAACTACATCCAGAGTGCAGAATTTATAGATGCACTGTGACTGTAACAGCATCATTTGTTAGTTTTAATAGAAAGATCACAGGTTTTTATTCTCCTATAGCAAGGCTTTCGATTCTCACTCCAAATTAAGCTTTAGGCTAGTGTAAAAGGGGAGTAAGTCAGGCAACTTTCTCATCAGCGGATGTAATTTACATAAACAATACTGGCAGCACACACACAAGATAAGCCCAGTGGACCGTTGGGGTTCTGGGTAATTAAGCTCTAGAGGATACAGAATTTTAAAATTCACGCTTTAACAACTATTCCACTCAGGTTAGTTCCTTCTGAGAAAACTTTTATGTCTAAGCAGCCTGCACCATGAGTCACACCTTTGCAATTTTAGATTTTTGTAAGAAAAATGTGAACATAAAACATTAAGGCATTTAGTCTAACCAGAAGTCAAAGAGGCATAACAACCCTAGAGCCTGGATTTAATGAAAATATTGTAAAGAGGCTAACATAGCCTTTATCAACCTGTAATTACCCAACTGTATAAAAGGTCAAATGAGAAATAACTCAAAGCTCTGTTTGACGCCTAAAATGCTAATAAAAATAACACCTTCCTTCACGACTTCCTCCCTTTGCTGGAGTGTGAGACAGATGTCTCCAAGAGTGAAAAAAAAACAAATCAGCACAAACACACAGTGATCAATAAAAAGAGCTTTGAATTCATAAACATGAAGCATGATTCTGTTTTATCAATCTCATAGTAAACACTACTGCAAAATAAACCCTTACACTAAATTAAAACAATAAAAAGGAGCAAGCGGCACAGTGCTATGCTTTTTAGGTCCAGCATGTACACATGCTATATTTACAGAAGGAGACAAACTTTTATCACTTTAAACTGCATTGCACAGGGTCAATTAGGTTTGAGGATTTTAAGATGAGACAATAAGATTTATTGTTTTTCTCCAGTATTTGGATAATAATTTATGGGAAATTTGTTTAATTTTACTCAAACATGGACAAAAGTAACTGTGTTAGGAATCCAGTTTGTGTGAGTTGTGTTTTTGTTTGTTTTTTCCTTCGCCACCAGGTGGCGCCTGGTTCTCGTTGGCCTTCTCACACACCTGCGGATGGTTGCCTCATTACCGGAGGACTCTTAAGCTGCTGACTGCCACTACCTCGACGCCAGAGTGTTTGCCAGTTTTGGGTACCCTAGCCAAGCTGAGTTTTGCTGAGTCAAACTGCGTTTTTGTCACCTGAGTCTTAACCTTGTTTTTGTTTTTTGTCTTTGCCTCTCGGCAAAGACAAACTGCTGTTATTGACACACCATGCAGACTTTGCTTGGTTTGTTTCCTTTGAGCTCTGTTAATACTCAAATTAAAACACAGGATAAAAGAGATTTGAATATGTCCAAAATGAATTGTATAACAATAATGGAAATGGGTTTAAATAAACCCAAGCCTTCACAGAACTGGCATTGGATTTTAGACTAATCTGGACTCTATTTACTACTGATCTAGGGTTATTGGTTGTGCTGGATTTTACTTTGGGGTATCAGAGTGACTGGGGCTGTGACAACATTTTTAGTTGGTGTTTTTTGGGGGGTTATCAGATGGCCGCTCACACTGAGCCTTGTCCTGCTGGAGGTTTCTTCCTGTTAAAAGGGAGTTTTTCCTCTCCACTGCCACTACAAGCATGCTTAGTGTGAGGGATTGATGCAATCAGCTGGTTTTCCTTAGATAGAAAACTTTGAATCAATTTGACTGTATGATCTGTTTAGATTGTAAAGTACCTTGAGATGACATGTGTTCTGAACTGGCGCTCTAGATTTAAACCGAATAGAAAACTGAATTATTTTGGAATTTGTCAACGTGTTTAAAACTTCAGGATTTTCTAAATCCCTTTATTGTTCCACAATGAGGAAATTCGCTCTCTGCATTTAACACATCCCCTTGGGAAGCAGTGGGCTGCCATTTTGCGGTGCTGTGGGAGCAGAGTGGGGTTTAGGGTCTTGCTCAGCAGTCCGCAATGCTCTAACCACTAGGCTATCACTTCCCTGTTTGTTTAAATACTTTGAAATTAGACTTAAGCTTATTTTGATTCTAGAATACATATAAGAAGACTTTGTTGGATATGATCATAAAAAATGATGATCAAATTTACCAAACCTGTCCAATTTGGAGAACAAATGGGAGTGAAGCAAGTGTAGATTCATTGGTACGTGATTAAAACACTGAGGCAGCATTTAAAACTGGGAGAAATTGTATTTATGAAAATGTTTTGTCTGTCTGGGCTTAAGTAAAACAGATACTGTACTTATGCTCCTTTATCGAACAGTCCTTCCAGTAGCTGATCAATAGTTCCAGAAGGCTATGGTTTATTGATCTGTTTTTTGTGGGCTATGTCATCACAGAAGCCTACAAATTGTAAAAAGCAATTTAAAGAAGCTGCCCTTTTCCTCCTTTCAACTTTAGCTGTTATTTTTTA